AAATAAAAACCCCATCTGTGGAACAAGTTTTTCTTTCTAAATCACAAAAGCTAATGTCTGCTTCCCTTTGTTACTCTCTCCTTGGAAACTAAGTAACAAAAGCTTCATTCATCTCTACTATTTCACCTTCTGAATTTCTGTCTGGGTATCCAGGTCAGCTGATTGGATTAGCTAGGTAATGTAACCCAGCCATTTTGCCTTTATCTCTTACCAGAGGAGAGGATAAAATCAAACTCCTTACTGTATACAAGGCCCCTCATGATCTGGCCAGTCCACCCCCCAGCCTCATTTCTCACCACTTCCTTCCCTTATCCACTTAATTGGAAGCTTATCAGAGAAAGGTCCTGGGCTCACAAGTGGGTCCTAATGGTCCAGACCTCTCCTATTCACCTGAATACCTGTGCCAGGGTATAGAAGGACACCGTATGTACTCCTTTGTACACAGTATGGGCTTGGGGAATGGGTTAAAGGAGCCTGCTCTGCTAGACTCAACCACTGATGAGCTAGGAAATGCACTCACCTGGGAGAGGTTGAATTGACTGCCTTGATCCACAGGCAGTGATCAGAACCTATCCTCCAGTGGGTGTCAGTGCCACTAGGGCCTGTGCACCTGGAAGAGAGCTGCCATGACCTGAATGTATCCCCACACATTTGTATGTTGAACCCATAATTCCATAGTGCTGGTACCCTTGGGAGGAAATTAAGTCAGGAGAGTGGAGCCCTCACGATGGGACTTGTGCCCTTACAAGATGAGGCCAGAGAGCTAGCAAGTCCCACCTCTACAGCAGGAAGACCACCCTCTGTCACCCCAGAAGAGGGCACTCACAGGAGCCCTACCAGCTAGCATGCTGGTCTCAGACTTCCAGCCTCCAGAACTGAGAAGTAAATGTTGCTCTGGTAGCATGTTACGGCAGCGTGAGCAGGCTGAGACAAGAGCCATACTGGGCTCCCTCCTGAAGAGTCTCTGCCGGCTCACAGCACTGGTTGCTCAAGGACTCATGCCCTTCTTTTATATGGAAAGATGCTCCTCCTGTGTGGCCTGGAGCTCTACTATGACAGAGACAGTCATGAGTAAAAATGGAAAAAATTGCTAACAAATGCTAAGATCGAATATTATGGTCTACTCATCCTGGTCGTAGGAGGTGTAATATCAGAGGTGCTCCTCTGAGCAAGGACGCAAAAAGTCCTAGTTGAGCCGTAGGTCTGGGGGTGGTGTAAGGTGTAAGCACTGGGAGTGCTTCCCAAAAAGGGCCCTCAGAAGGCCTGTAACTATGCTGATGGTAGGTACAGTTAAATATCTTGACTGTGGTGGTATGAACTGAGGATGGAATTGCATAGAGCAACGCACACACACACACACACACACACACACGAGCATATGTATAACTGGCACAATGTGAGCCAGCTCCGTGATTTGCGCCAGCGCCAAAGCAGAAGTTTTTATATTGTACTCTAGTTATGCAAGACAGTAACACTGGGGGAGGCCAGGGTGGAGTGCCTGTGAACCTGGCCGTATGTTTCTTTGAAAATTCCTGTGAATCTACAATTATTTCAAAATAAAAAGGTTTTTTTTTTTTTAAGGGGTTGAGGGGTCTCAGAACACTGGAGCCCTTGATCTAAAACAGTGCGTCAGGGATGGCGTTTAGACTGGGTCTTATGCAAAAGCAGTTTCTCCGTGTCCAGGCTGAAAGACGGTCCTGAAGAAAAGGATGAGGCAGGCTGTCCTAGCCAGCAGAGGCAACACGAGCACAGAGCCTCAGAGGGCCTTCTGCTGCCTAAAGCTCTGTGAGCAGCCAGGGGAGGCCCCCACGCCTTCCCTGGAGACCTGGCAGGTGAGGGTGGGAAATGGGTGACTAGGCCTCAAGCCCAGGGATCTCTGGACGTAACCACCGCGGCCCCTTTCCGTCCTCCGACTGTCCTCATTCCACGCCTATCACGCGCCTGGCCCTCTGCGCTCTCCCAGTGCTTGGGGTGGGGTGGGGGCACCGGGAGTCGGAGCAAGAACCCCGCCAAGCGATGCGTTCTGTCCCTGGGGAGGAGGCGGGGAGGGAGGCCAAACTGATGAGGGAATTGCGGAGCACACCGGAAGGTGACCGGCGATCATGGAGGGAAAGAGAACCAGGTAGGGAGGCCCAAGAACGGAAGAGACAGTGGTGGGTGGGAGGGGACGGTCGCTAAATTCTCCAGGTCCTCAAATGGTGTGATTCGATGACGACATTAACCCTCTATTTGAATTTCTTCTCCTGCTCCCAAAGCTGCTCCCTCATTCTTCCTTTCTCCTCCTCCCCACCGTTCATTCTGCCTCCGGTTCCCCTCCCTGCTGCCGCTCTCCTCGGAGGTGCGTCTTCCAGCTTTCTCTTTCTCCTTGCCCCCCCTTGGGCCCTCCCTTCCTTCCCCCATTTTTATTTTACTCTCTCTTCCATCTTTTTAAGCTATTTGTTATTATGGGGCATTTTTATGGAAACAAAGCTCACATGATTAAAGTTCATGTGGTTTTTGTTAGGTTGTTAATATTATTTGTGTGACACATGTTTTTCCGTTCTAAATGGAACCAAACTTTCTTCAGGAGCCCAGCCTGATGCCACTGGCGAGCATGCCTGATTTGTTGTCTCTCACCTCATCTCTGTGCATAGATTAAGCCCCAGATAGAGGACCCCTCAAACATGTCTGGAAGTGCCGAGAGCGCCTCCCATGTACTGATGAACAAGTCTACTCCGCCAAGGACCGCCTCCTCCTCGCACCCTTGGAGGGCACCATCGCAAAGACCCAAGGCGTCGCCAGAACTGCTCATGTGCCTGGAGCCCGGGGCAGAATCCTCTACCTTCGGAGTCATATTGTTACAGTGATTACTGGGAGTGTTGCAGGTAGAAGAAAAGATCCCCATTATTTTCTAGGGATCTCAGGAAAGCCTCTCTTTTGGATATTTATTCAGCTTCTTTTCTTCCTAGGACCCAAACAAGAATTCATGAATCTGGCTCCAGAACATACTCCAGAGTGACAAGCACTGTATTATCTCCAGTCTCCACTGTTCACCACCAACTACATCTTATTCCTGGGTCAGCTCTGGAAGCCTGCTCCTTCTTGCTTTAGGATGAATTGTGTCTCTTCCAGGAGGCTCTAGTTTGTTTAGCCTGGGCCAGCAGGGGCAGAGCCTGGGCAGCACCTCACAGTTCCAAGTAGACACAACTCCACTTCAACCCAGGAGTCCCACTGTGTAAGTTTATGAAGCCAATGAGTTCAAATTTGTATCTGTAACTTAAAACACGCACAAAACTCAAGTTGCTTTTGTATTTTGAATCATCTAATAAAACATAAGCATAATTTATTTTTGTGGGTTTCAACATGTCCTTTAATATAAAGTATTAATTTTTTGAGACTTGTTGGCCTTCATGAAAATTGTTGCTAAATCTACAAAATATATTAAGAATAATAGTTAGAAATTGATAGGTTATCCTAAAATATATATATATGGAAATGCAGAGGACTAGCATAAGTAAATTAGGAAAAGACCAAACTGGAAGAATTAGACTTCCAAATATCTAGAGCTGTTAAAGACCTAAGAAAAGTATTGGTACAAGGACAGAAAAATAGACTAATGGAACAGAGTGTCCAGAAACAGACACAAACATATACAGTCAGCTGATTCATGTTAAAGGTGACACTGCATTGAAGAAGAGAAAAGGATGGTATTTTCAGTGAAGGGTGTCAATATAATATTCATTTGGAAACAAAAGAAAATGTATCTTCACTCTTTGTGTCACACAGTACACAAAACTCAACTCCAGAAACATTGTATATCTAAATGTGATTAGTAAAACAAAGTTTTTAGAAGAAAACCTAGGGAGACAAAGATTTCTTATACTAGATATGCACCCCAACCCCCCCAAAAAATAAAAGGCTAACCATTAAGGAAAAAAATGATAACTTGAACTACATTAAAATGAACAATTTATGTTGCTCAAAAGGCAGGATTAAGAGGGACAAAGCAATCCACAGACTGAATACGATATTTACAGTATATATATCCAACAACGGGTTTTTATGCCTACTCTACAAACTTTCACAAGGCAATTAGAACAAGGCCATGACTAAACAGAAGAGTAGATGACCGGGGCAGATGATTACAAAAGAGGGCCTTTAAATGATAATAAACATCTGAGAAGTCACTCCACTTCTTGAGCATCAGTGTGATACTACTACAAACCCCTCAAATGAAAAGATACACAAGCCAGTGTTCGCAAATTGTGGAGCAACTGGAACTCTAACTCACAGCTGAGAAAGGGACAAATTGGTGATTGGCACAATGCTTTGGAAAAGTCTGCTGGTGATAGTAGATACCTACCGGAGTTTCCACTGAAGCATAACCTATGTATATGACCCAGCAACTCCACTCTAAGGTACATACTTCACAGAAAGGTGTGCATCCTTTCACCAAAAAAAAAAAAAAAATCGGATCAAGAATGTTCAGAGCAGCACTATTCATGAAAGCCGCAAACCAGAAACACTACCCATGTCCACAAACAGTAGGCTGGATGAGTAAGACAATGGAATACTTTCCAGCCGTGAAAATTAATGAATGATTGCTATATGCAATAACACGATGGATCTCATGATTGTCATGTTGAATGAAGACAGACACAAAAGTGAAGGGAAATAAGAATTAATCTGTTTTCTTCCATTTATGTGAAGTTCAAAAAAACAAGTGTTAGATGTCAAAATAGTAATTAGCCCTTGAGGCATTTACAGGGAAGCAGCATGAGAGGGCTTCTGGGTACTGGTCATGTTCTGCTTATTGATCTGGGTGCTGGCCACACTAGTGGGCTTGTTTTGTGAAAATTCCTCAAGCAAGACACTATGCTTTGTATCCTTTTGATATGTGTGTGGTACCAGCCTGACAACTTTGCTTAAAATAATGAAAATCATTGCATAAAATGACCTGGAAATGTTTGGGGAAGAAGATAAGATTTTACTGAGATACCTCTGAATAACATTGTTTATTGCACTGGTAAGTCTTTACAAAAAGAAAGTGCACACCAACAAATGAAAGTGGAGCTATAAAGAGTACATCAAAATGATGACTTGTAAGAGTAATAGCAAAGATAAAATGTAAACATTTTTATTATATTCAATAGTTATGTTCAGAAAGAACATATCAGAGTAGTTTAACAGGCAACTTTACATTTAATAAAAATTATGTGCAAATATTTCCAAATGTACATGGTTTGATTTAGTCACTTGTTGCTGACATTCATATACAACACTAGAATCTGATTCTATAGGTTAAAAACATAACAAGACAACTTTGATTTCAAGTAAAAGTTCCACTGACAATACAGAATTAAAAGTATGCTTACTACTCACAAAATGCATAGAAAAGACAGTATTTTAGAGCATGCTTGGGGAAATGAGTCAAATGGAGTGTGGTCCTACATAATCACAAATGGATCCAATCTTTTACAAAACTCTAGCCTTACTGTAAAATGTAACTTTGGTATTTCCTTCAACTAAAAAAAAAAAATCGGGTAGTGCAGATTTCCTCTATTGAACAGAGGTATTCATCCATTTTCTGAAAGACTATTATATTCACTATTTAGAGATATGATCTGTTGCCATTATAAGCAGGTATTACTGCAAAAATGAGATAACATTGTAATCCTGGTTAGGCTGTACCCAACATGGGGAGTAATCTGTTCTAGGTCAGTTAAAGACAGGATAACCCATGAGCATGAAAGAGTATCATAATATCCCAATCCATCACAACTCCCTCAGATTCTAACAAGTAGGATGCAGGGGGTGGGAAATGATGACGCCTTCAGTTCATCAGTTTAATATGATCACTGATGATATTCCTTCAGAAGTAGATACCTTGTTTCTGATTGTATTTAAGAAGAAAAATAGAGATAGGGCATGCTGTCTTTGGCTAGCCAAACACATTTGGAAATTTCACACATCTGTGCTAGATGTACAATATAGTTCTCAACCAAGCAAGACGTTGTCTCAGCTGGGGACCTGAGTACTTTCTCTAGAAATGAAGCACAACTTCATTAATTTCAGCATGAAATAATGGTAACAGTCCACAGGATCAAAGCTTATATATTATATATAATACCTAGAAAATTGTTGGCACTCAAAAAAGATCATGTAAAAATAAAAGACATAAAGTAATATTTTCTGGCCTAAAATATGTATTTTTAAAGACATATATATTCTCAATGTGTATATTCCAAACCAAAATTTTTATGGCTATTGAGTTCATCCAAAATATTTTGTCTTAAAAATTCCTTTTCAACAGATTTATATACAGGCTGTTGATTTTTAGATTTTTTTGAAAGATGGTCAGATTTCAATTAAAGATCACTTACTTTACATACTGCTAAAATTTTAGAGAAAAATATAAACTCATTTTAATCACCATAGTCTTATAAACATATCAAAATTATTTTTCAAAATAACAATTTTCATGTCAGATTTTAAATAGATTACTTATTTTCTGTCTGGTTGATCTGTCCTTGGAGTGAGTGGTGTGTTGAAGTCTCCTAAAATGAATGCATTGATTTCTATTTCCTCCTTTAATTCTGTTAGTATTTGTTTTACATATGTAGATGCTCCTATGTTGAGTACATAGATATACCCATAGAAATAATCATTTCTATTAACTAAGTAAATCAAAACTTCATTTTTAAGCTAGAGATAGTATGTCATATTTCTATTTGCTCTTAATTATCCATGATTATCATATCAAAAAATTATTTCTATAAACCACAATAAACTTACTGCTTCATTTCTCTGAATCAGTTTCTAAAATCTATCAGCCTAGTTCTGTAGCTTTTAAGTGAACCATTTCCTTGATTCTGAATTCTGATTACACATCTGGTGACATACAGTAACATTCATTAGTAAGTACTAACCAAAGTTGCATTCAAAAATTTTTTTTTATATATTTAATAAAAGTGATTTTTGAAAGCTGTTAAGGATAATGCATTAGTAATTATATTTCAGTATTCACTCAGTGTGACCTTACACAGTGATCATTGCAGCTCATGGGTGTCAAAGTCAGTCTGAAATGGATTTTTCTTTATGATATCATTTCTGATTTACCTGCCCACAGAAGCTGTTGGGTCTTAGACTGAGCAAGGGTACGTCACAGTCACAAGAACACTGTTACATCTGTCGCAGGGGCGGGAGCAGCTTAACATCTGCAGACGTTGCTAGATCCCCTGGACAGTCCTTCTCACCATTTTGCACATTTTAGAGGTCAGCTATTTATTTTATAAATAAAGCCCAGACACAATCTTAGTGCTTCAGTTTCAATGACTAAGAAGTTTAAAAAAAAATTAAAGATTTAAAAAAATCTAATGGAAAAAGAATGACTGTTTCAAGTGCAAAGAAAGTCAATGCAGAAAATATTTGCATAGAATTACATTGGGTGGCGGTAGGTTTTGCCTTGAAGACCTTGCTTATAACGACCCCCTGAATCCACTTTCAGGAAGCAAGTGTGCGCATAGCCTGTGGAAGCAAGGGGGAAACAAAGTGTTGGTACAACTGAATTCTCCCTAAGTCAACATTATCTTTTTTTAATAAATATGTTTTGATAGTGTTGGTTGCTTACATTTACTCATCTTAGGTGGGTATCATCACATTCAAAGTAGAGTAAAAACTTAATTTTTTACCTTATCATTTTTTAATTGGACTTATTTAAAAGCAATAATTATTATTTATTGGGAACTTATTATGTACAAGACACGATTCTAATTATTTTACATGCATCCTTTAATTGTCACAATTCCGTGAACTATTATTTCTATTTTGATGATGAAACTAGAATAAAGACAGGATAAGTAACATGCCGTGGGCTACACACAGCTAGTAAGTAGTAGAATCAGGACTAGCACTCAAGTCTGTTTTGTTCTAAAGCCCATACCCTTAAAACCACTCTGCTGTATTCCTTCCCTATCTATAGAACACTACCTGGATGATCCTTTATCCATTTTCTGAATAATTATATCATTATTTTATGTGACATTCCAAAAATACTTCTGTAGTGTGGAAACTTCTTATGTTGCAATTTTGATATATGAGTTTTTACTTAACTAAGCCCCATAACTGTGGTCATATACTACTAAAGCTGGGAGGATGTCATAGCTCAATAATGGCATTCCTGGGCTCACTAAGCTGGTGGGCTAAGAAGCAGGGCCTCTGATTTTCACTCTAGCAGTGTACTTTCTCCACAAAAGAATCTCTGCCTGTCATCCTCACTCACTGCCTGATTTTACCATATGGGTGCAGAAGTTATTCTTTTCAACATGTTTATGAGGACCTGGAATATGGCAGAGAAGTAATGCTTATCAGATTTGCACATAACCCCAGTGGTGCTAGGTAATTAATGCATTGACTGATAGACTCAGAATTCAGAACTATGTCAAAAAAATGGAACCAACCATATGTAATCTAGCAGAAATATGTGCAGCCCTCATTAGGGCCAAAGCCCAATTACATAAATACAAATAGGGAGCTTAGCTGGACCATAGTTTGTGTGAAAATGCCCAAGTCTTTAGATGACCCCTGCTTGATAGAAGCCAAGATTTTGACAAATACATTTTTAAGTTATAATAACAGAAATCTGTTGATGAGATCAAGGTAGGTCATGATTCCATCATCTCTATGCTGGCCTGACTCCAGCTGGGGCTTTGTATCCCCTCTTGGTCAGAGCAGCGTCGACAAATTTTGTGACCATGAGGAACGGTGAAGGGAGCTGGAGAAGAGTCTGGTGGAGACCTGGGGGCTATTCCCAAATATTTAAGGGCTCTTCAGTGGGAGGGTTTGTGTTATTACCAAAAGCAGATCTCAGTTCACGGGGTGATTATTAGAGGCTGAGTCTAGTTTTGTAAGCACAACCAACACTTGGAGACTTCCAACTGTGTAACAGACTCCCTTGAACAACTCCCGGTTGCCAGTGTCTGGAAACGTTCACATAGAGGCTGAATGAACATCCATAGGGATGGTTTAGGAGAAATTTCTGCATGGGCTAGGATGTGGGACCACTTGATTTCTAAGACATCTTTCAACTTTAAAATCCTATGTTCTTCCTTTGTATGTCCGATTTTAGCCAGTGGTGGATCCACTAAGTTCATTCAGAAACTACAACTTTCAGGCAAGTTTCCTAGGAATAGTCTGGTACGCCCAAAGCATGAGAAAGACAGAGAGTGAGTCTCAAACGGAGGCAGTATCTTTTTTAAGCCTTTATCAGTCAGATGATAAAGGTCATGAGGTTCTTATTCCTCACGTACTATGCCTGAAGCTTGTGAAACTCCTGGGTTAGGAATTCCCTCTGTTCACCTTTCCCCTATTGCACTGGTCCTAGGTCTCTGGAAGAGAAAAGTATGCAGAAGCTTAGTATAAAATTAGGACCAATGGGCTGGCTGCTTCCAGTCACCGATCACATCTACATGCTTGGGGCGACAGGTCCCCAAGGACTCAATGCCTTCAAGGGAGAATCCTTGCTTTCCACCTTTCCCTTTCTATGAAGCCATCCTCTTGATATTTTTAAAAAATTATTTTCCCTGAATAGTTTTAATCAAACATAGTCATTATTTCTATTACTCTGTTTATTCAAGAGTTAATCCAAATCATTTTCTTTGAAAGAAAATAATGATCATACCTCATCCTGGACATCAAGTTCTTCTTCAACCAGCTCTACTTCCATTAAGTCAAGAGGGTCTTTACAGTCTTGGATTAGGGTGATCTTGACAGAGAGAACACAGAGAATATTTATTGGAAACCTAATAGCATCCACCCCCTCCAACCCTCCATTCTCCACTGAAAATTATTTGAAGCTTTGCTGGTGCTTCTCATCTATAATCTGCATACTTCAAAACCCTTTTCAGCTTTCTTGTTCTTTTATATTTCCCACCTTAGAATTTTTCTGTGTACTATTTTTTCACATTCAAGTGTGGACTGGCATAGTCTTCTATTGTCTAATCTCCTTTTCAGCTCTCTTCCCCAATCTCTGAAGTGTGATGCCTCTTAACAAGTCAGCCCATTTGCCTAAATAACTCAGCAGCCAGTTGTGTTTTTCTTTCAACAGCTAAACTAAGAGCAGTTAGAACAGCATTGAGGAGGCAGTGAATGCCCAGTGAAGAACTCCTGACTGAGGACAACAAACAGCCCCAGGTTGAATTGGATGGAAATTAATTTTATTGGAGATGGAAATCAACATCTGTGGACCAAGAGCAAAGTTCTGCTCTTCAGCAGTAGTATGTTATTTAATCATTCACACAGAGGAAACCAGGAACAATTTTGGTTTTGTCTTATGCATGAAGAAGGATATTTTTAGAGCAACTCCAAATGTATCTCAAGGCAAGAGTGATGTTTCAAAGTGCTTTTTAGCTACTTTTCATCTCAGAAATAAATAACCCAGTTGTCTGCTTTGTGGGACTTAAGTCCCTGTGCAGATGGCCATGAAATAATGGGCAAGTTAGAGGATAGGTATAACTACAAGTTGAGCTGTCCTGGGTCCTTTGTCATACTCAAATAAAGGGACCGGCAGAGGGTCATATCAAACATCCATTGTTACCATTCCTGAAGAAAAGGAAAGTACCACAGGTCATTTTCTATACCGCTACCATGGATAGGGCTTTGTGCTGGACATTGAGGGTACATAGAAGTATAAATTTCCTAAGCTGACAGGCCACCCATAGTGCTCAACCCACTGTCCAGTGAACTGGTAGGTATATAATACAAACACTAAGTTATACTCAGCCTAACATTCGTTCAGGGTCAAAAAAGTCCATCCCAGCCACACACAGTGCCTCCCTGGTAGCAAACAAGATTATGTCTAACCCTGGTAGGGGCTCTCTTTGTTAGTGGTTTCTGTGATAGTCATGGCCTGAGATCTTGGATCAGAATCTGGTGTAGACAAATAACAAAACAACTATTTTCATGTTGACATAGAACTTGACACCTCAGTTATTTTACTTTTAACGCAAGATCTTCTTTGGACACTTTATATGATCTTGCTTCTCTGTTGTTACCTGTGGTTATAGAATGTTAAGTTACATAGTAAGTGTATGAATTTTCCAAGATGAGTATCTTGCATGTAGCTTTTTTTTTTTTTAAGACTTGTGGTTTTACTAATTTTCTTTTTTTCCTTTTTTGTATTTAAGATCCATACCTTGGTATTAAGTGCTAGTGTTTACCACAGCAATATTAAACTATCTTTCCACTAATAATAGCTGAAAAGAATAATGTACCATTGCTTTCTAAATTAGTTTTACTTCAAACATTAATATCCAATCTATAGTAAGGAACTACTCATTCTAACTTTAGGAAAAAAGGGAAGTGATTTAAAATATAGTAGATGTGCCACTGGAATAATAATTTTTGTTGTTAGTTTATAAGTATTTGTCTTATTCACCATAAGAGTGTCCATGAAAGATGAGGTTTTTGTACCAGAGCTACCAGTTGGCCAAATCCAGTAATCCAGCCTAAAAATGCTCAGCTCTCCTGGGAATTTGTCAGAAGAATCAACAAAATAAGGGGGTCTGTAGAAAATCAGGGTCTATTCTTTTTGGTGGGAAATAATTAACTCTGGGCTGACTCATGACTTTTAACATTTTGTTTACTTTTTCCAAAGATCACTTATGAACTAATGAACCCTACTTAAAGATATTTATAATCAAGAGTTTCCAGATTGCTGAGAATTTAAATTATGTATGTATGCATAAATCACTGAAGATCCAAGATTTAGTACCTATATTCTGAAAACAGCCAGATTAGGCATTATAGCTAGTGCCTACTTTTATTAGTAAACCCACACACTTTAGAATTAATATGGACTAGGTACTATCAAGTGCTTTCCTATAAACCATCATATTTAATCATCATATCTACCCAGCAAAGTAAATGTTTTTACTTCCATTTTACTGAAGAGAAAACTGAAAATCTGAGAAGTTGAGCAGATGGTCTAAAATCTCACAAACCTGGGACGCTAGAGTTGTGGAATTTTTGCCGTTTACAGAAATTGTGATAGTGTGATAGTTAGGTATGCTACATATGTAGAAAGGTTGAATGTTTACCGTATCTAAAATGGAATCTTGAACCTCTCGAGATTTAACCTGGTTCTGTAGGTGGAGGACAGCATCATGGACAGTCAAAAAGAATATGTCCTTCCTAATGTGATCGTTAAAGAAACCACATTTCTCCAGCTTCTCTATCACATGATCTTCAAAAGAAAGAGATAATGTTTAGTTAGTCTATTTGTGTAATATAACCAATACTAAATTTTTATGGCTCCTCCTTTCAATTTCTTTTCCAGCAGCACAGGGAATGGTTACACCACGAGTGTGGTTGTTGTAGAGGGCCTTGGTTCCTGAGCTTGTCCCTTTTGCTGGTGTACCATCCTCCTGCTGCTGTGAGCCTAGCTGCTGATGGTGAACGTGCTTGATGCCACTGACTTAATTGTACACTTTAACACGACTAAAATGGCAAATTTTATATTGTACATATTTTACCATAATTTAAAAAAAGACCTTTGAACATCATGTACCTGCATTCCAAGGTAGGAGAAAGCCTTATATAGATAAGGTTGTATATGCATTTACCTTGAAGCGATGCAAAGTACACATTTACATCAATTCTTTGGAATTCTTTGACAATCTAAAAATTTAAAAAGGAGAATTTGTAATAGTGAATAATTTTATCTGCCCACATTTCAGTTGCATTCAATTATTTGCTCATGAGAAACTTCAACACTTTCAGGGTTAATAGGGACTTTGAGGAAAGCTCATTATTGGCAGAAAGTTCATTGTTGGCAAACCATAGAGGTTACCAACCTACAGTGATGGTACAACTAGGGATGAAAAGACCACCAGCAACAGTGCACACCAGTACAGCTCTCAAAAGCACAGAGGGGCTCAATAAAGTAAAGAAGGAAGTACAGGAGGCTTCATAATATAGCTCCAGAGAGACTAGAGACATGAGTATAAGTTTGTATCTTATATATATATATTACTATCATATGTACATCCTAGTGGCTCAACAGTCCCTCTCCCCCTTCCCCGTCCCCACCCACTCCCCTCCCCGTTGGTAACCACTGGTCCCTTCTCAGTGTCTATGACTTTGCTGCTGTTCTGTTCCTTCAGTTTTGTTTTCTTTTTATATTCCACAAATAAATGAAATCATATGGTATTTGTCTTTCTCCGCCTGGCTGATTTCACTGAGCATACTACCCTCTAGATCCATTCATGTTGTTGCAAATGGCAGGATTTATTTTCTTCTTATGGCTGAATAATATTCCATTGTGTATATGTACCACATCTTCATCCACTCATCTATTGATGGACACTTAGGTTGCTTCCATATCTTGGCTACTGCAAACAGTGCAGTGATAAACACAGCAGTGCATATATTTTTTTGAATCATGGATTCGGTTTTCTTCAGGTAAATTCCTAGGAGTGGAGTTACTGGGTCATGAATTTATATCTTTGAGTGGAATATATATGGGTATGGATATATGGCAACCAGATTCCAAATTTAAAAACTGACCTAAAAACCAAAGCCTACATAGTTTGACTGTGTAAGTGTCAATATACTGATTGTTATTTTGTACTGTAGTTACCACTGGGAGAAACTGGGTGAGGGGTACATAGGATCTCTCTGTACAATTTCTTAGACCTTCAGGTGAATCTACAATTATCTCAAACTATAAAGTTTAATTTTAAAAATCAAGATACAAAGCCTGTGGGCAATAATAATTAGAACTTGACATTTCTGGGGGGAAAATATCAAGATCTCTGCAAATATGAAGTTTGGAGAAATTGAGGCACTGATAGATTAAGCAACTTGTCCGTGGTCACACTGCCAGTAAGTGGCAGAGTCAGGATTCAACCCCCAATGGTTTGGCTCCACAGCCTATGCCTTATAAAGCTATACATTCTACTGCAAAAACGTTCCCCTAGGAAAACTGCAGAGCTTGTATAACCCTTTTGTGAGGCTGGGCAACCCTTATCATCTTCCTATAGCCAAAACTGCAAATCTGTAATTCAAGGTAGTCGAACCTTACCATTAGCAATGACCTCACTCCAACAACATCCAGGAAAGACACAGCTCCACAATCAAGCACGAGGCTGTGGATTGGCACTTTGGGAACATTCACTTTTACTGGAAGCTCTGAGTTCCAGTCCACTCGAATCTCTATTTCCTTGGTTGGGATATCAGGTTCTTCCAGATCTTCAATATCTTCATCAGGCTCAAAAGCATCATTTGATGAACCAGCACCACTTATAATGCCATTCTAAACGAAGAAAACACTGCCAACTTAATTGCCAGTGATTCAGGACGTCTTTCAACAGTTCATTTCCAATGAAGTACAAATCCTACACACTGTTACTTGGCAAGCACAATATTAAGGGGATGGATTCTTAAGGAATGAGGTTTACTTCAGTCCAAACTTTGACTTTCTCTAGGAAGGAAAATGGAAGAGCAGAGGAACTAGGAAACTTTGGATTTCTGGAAGATTGTGGAAGCTGGCCAAGGGATACATGGGCAGGAGAGTCTGAATAAAAGGTAGTAGCTCTAAAGTTTATGGCCTTACTGCCTTCTCTTGTGGATAATTTCCTGGTATCAAATTAGCATTTATTTTGTTCCTTTCAGCAAAAATTAGCTTTATTTCATAAGAGAAAAAAAATCACACCCTGTGTTTCCAGGGAGTTCTGCTGATGTTTTTTTCCCTCTCCCATCCCCACATGCATACAAGAACAACTCAGCTGTTATTTGACATTGGTTTGCCTGTCATCTGCTTGTACACATTTGGGTACCAAAGAGGGTAAATTTTATTTTAGACTATCTAATGGCTTTCATTTTCTTATGGAAAAAGAAATAGTTTAACAGGGAAAAGAAAGATGTTGACTCACCTTTGTTGCTCTTAAATGCCCTTTTTTGATGAGTTTCTGTATTTTCCGCAGTGCTTTCAGCCTCTTATTATACACTCTAATGGCATCAAATCCAACCTTGGAAAATAAATGTCAAGTTATTTAAAACGTCTGGTTCCTAATGCTCATTAATGGCAATTGTTATCTGGAAAGGTTATTTCTCAAGTGGCATTATTCCTTGAGACATGCTGCCAAAAAGGAAATTCTGAGGTCTGAAGCAGGTCTCCACTACCAGGCCCCACACTCCACCCACCCAGAGACTCAGGCAAGACAGGAACATATTAGAGACTCAAGACAGTAAAAAACAATACAGCAAAAAGTAAACCCTTTACCTATAAATCTGTGTTAACAAATTTCCTTGACATCACAGAGCCCTTTTGTTAATGCAAAATCTATGAGCATTCATCCGAACCAGTTTGCCTGGGAACTCATTTAGGAAACCACTGATCTACAGGAAAACCTCATCTTTGAAGCATTTCATGGCATTCAAGACCAGAATATCCTGCTTACACATTCCACTTGTACTTTCTACCCTTTATTTCAACTGGGTACCTTCCCTGAACCCCACCCTACACACATATTCCCACCTTTTACTCTCAGCTCATATACTTCCCAGACACGTGACATATCTCCTTCCTCTTGCCCAGCGACCACACAAAGTTTGATCAGTCCAACCTTTCTCTGATCTCTTAACGTTTACTATCTGAACTACTTATTTGGAACTCAAATTCTGTCTCAAGACATCTCAAGTGTTTTTGTCCAGCATAGTATTGTTACCTGGATTTTAATATATGTGGTGTTTTCCTCCTCTCCCCAAATATAAGTTACTTAAGAGCAGGAATGTTATAATTCTCAGTGCCCTACCCAAAGAGAATACAGCAAACATATATCACACAAATACAAAGGGAATATAGCCTTAGTTCAGCTTGTGCCAATAATTTTTTACTGAAGACTTAATGTAGAATTAATGTAACTATAGAATGAATGAAGTCTCAAAGGAGGTTAGAAATTGAGTTTCTGGGGATATGTACTTACAGCAGCCTTGATACATTTTTTAAAACCATCGACGTTGCCATAAAAGATAGGACTAGAAAACCTAAGAATTTTTACTCCTTCAGGTTCTTCAGTCTAGAGTTGAAAAGAAAATTTTCTCGGGTTAAATAATTTCAGACCTCATATATACCACCTCTGACCCTTCAGCTAGGAGCCAAGTTACGACTGCTCAAAGAAACTGGGTGGCTGCACTCAACTTCCCCTGAAAGGGGCCTCTCCCAGTTGGGAGGCAACAGTTGCCCAACCTCCTGGACCTCCACAGTCCCATAGAATGTCAGGTAGAAAGGGCCTTGGAAAGCTACTACTCAATCCTCTGATTTCCAAATGAAGAATCTGAGGCTCAGAGCAATGACATGATTTTTTGCCTCAAGTTCATCCCAGTGCCTACTCCCACCTTTTGGCAAAAATTCTTTAAAAATAGCAACAACAAAAAAGTGGCAAAATTGAGGGGATTTGCAGGAACTGAGGCCCCTGATGTCACTTGCTTTTTCTTACCCTGACAGTAACCAGAACCCACAGAATCATAGGCTTTTCTAGTTCTTAGGAATCACAGAAATCGTAGTCTAGCCCCTTCCAGTGAGAAAGCTGAGGTCCTGAGAGGCTGAGTGACTCGGGCAAGGTGTCCCCCAGCGGGGCCTACAGCTCAGAACTTCCCGGCTCAGCTGAGGGTTCCCTGAGCCTAAAGAGTCTCTAGAATTGTTTCTAGCTCTGGATGGCACTTGGCTCCACATAACTGAGAAAGAGTGTGGAAATAAATTAAGTAGGAGCTTCTGGGATTACAGGTTCAGTGTCCAACATTTTTTTTAAATGTTAAAATTAGACTGTAACTTTTTAGGGTTTGCATTAATTTTTTTTGCTTTTAAACACTATTTTATGCTAAATTGTTTTTTTCTTAATTTTCTTTCCCTGCTTTTTCATCTTCATTTTCCCCTGGTGGTCACTGAGACATTTTATTTGTTGGGAACACAAGCCCAGCAGTGGGATGTCTTTTTTTGTGTGTTTATTTCCCTTATTAGATATTATTTCCTCCAATTTCAAGGACAGAACAAAAGGTCAAATTAAGGTACTTGGTGACAGGGAACTTGAAAGTCTCCTGTTAGAACTGAATGAAGAAAATCTTACAGGGATTTCAGACAAGTTCGTAGAATATAAGGATTACTTAGCAGAGAAAAAGAATTTTGATGCAATTTCTGGAGCTAATCAAATTGCTTATTTAAAAGAAGTCCTCTTACAATAGTTTTACATTAAAATGGCATTCAACTAGCATGGACAAAATTCATAGAAACCATGGATATCAGAGGGCACACTGGGTCAAAAGTTGTCATGACTTTCCCAGAGGATGCCTCCCCCTTCAGCTCGCTGCCTCGTACCTAATATGGGAAGAGAGAAACCTGTCATCCTGAGAATCCAGACTAGCAGAGCCACATCCTGCAAACATCTCACAGAGGCACTTACATTTTTGTAATTCTTGGTACTTTTGTAGATATCTGTGCTAGGGATGATTCCAAGGCCATTGCATGAGGGACTGAAAGAAGAAAAAATTAAGTTCAGGATTATTTGGATTAGGCATATTTTGGAATAAAAAAGAAGAAATAAGAGATACAAAAGAGCCCATGTTTCTGGTGTTTTTGGATTCTGTCTTTATTGCAGGCGACATTCTCCTTAGCTAGCTCTGAGATGACCAGCTGCTGTTTGTGTGGAATTGGGGCAGGAGGAGGAGAAACCGTGAACTCTTTTCTGATGCCTGAGAAGAAGCGAGCCCCATGCTTTCAGGTGTCTAACACTTTATAGGGCAAGCAAAGCACTTTCACGCACGTGAAATCTTACTGAAGCCTCACATAAGCCTGAAAGGTCAGCTGCGTTGTCCTATTGTCATTGCTGTGGTTCAGAGAAATTCAAAAAGGCCCCAGAGTTAAGGGGCAACTCCGCCTCTATCTTTGATCCACGGGTCTTCAGTGCCTGGCACAGAGCCTGAAACTAACTTACTGGGGAGTCGCCTCAGCTCTCCGGTGAAGCGTGGCCAGTCGGTGGTGATTAAGTTAGCCTCACTGTATAGAAATGGGAGCTGGAGGACCAGAAGAAAGTCCTTCCTAAGAAACAGACTGTTGATTTCCTGTACGTGATGGCAATTAAATCAATTACGTGAAATCTTCAAGTGTGACTAGGGACATATGCTAAACGTCATTCCTGAAGAAAGTTATCTGTTTGGGGTAATCTCGGCAATGCGCTCTCTGGATCAGCCTTGTAATTACTAGAAATTAAATACTCTGGTAGACTCTGCTGTCTGTGGCTAAAAGCCTCGTTACCAAATAGGCAGCTAAAAATACCTGCCACCAGTTTCTCCTGGGCTTTCTGTGCTGTGCTGAATTTTAACTTAAAGCTCATGAGCTCTGTAGTCTAACTCTAGCAAATCCTTCTCTCCCAACCAGAGCCCACAAGAAAAAGGAGCCTGAGGCATACGGAGCTCAAGCAGAAGCATCTTCCAAGGACAGTTTCTGAGTCATTTCCCAACAGCAAATGCAGGGCACTTTGGGGGCCTGCGACCTCTTGGGGGCCCTGCGGCAACCAGCGCAGGACACTGAGGCAGCGAACGCCAACTTCCAGGGCAGGGAAAAGGGAGAGAAGGAGAAGTGGCTGGTGAAACAGGAAAGGTGGGCTTAGGCTAAGCTGAAGACGTCTGTGTTGATGTTTTTCCAGGTTTCTTACTGCTTTGTGGCCCCGGCACAGGCGGAGAAGGGGCCAGAAGTCTGCAACAATAACAGGGGTTCTGAGGAAGGAGACAGGCTCTCTGTCCAGACAATTCCACATAGCAAAGCCTCTCAGGAGTCACAACAAACAAACAACTGTACACCTGTGGGCTCCCACCCCGACTGTTTTCTGTTACTGCTCCCACTCTGCGTATGAGCCAGTTACATCTACTTCACACAACCACGTGGCTTATTCGGTTGACTCCTTATCTGGCGGGTGCGATTGAATTTTGATTACAGTCAACTGTTTTAAAGTCTCCTGTTTTGGGTAACAAACTATTGGGTTTCTAACTTCAAAAGAAAATGAAGTATATTTAGCAGCTGTCTTGTCCTAAGCCTTGGGTCCATGGCCTCACATATTTCATTTGCAGGAATAACTACAAAGCAGCCTCCGTCCTTTGCTGAATCATGTATCTTTTAGTCTTACCACAACTGAAAGGAAAGGGCAGCAGTACAGCTGACTAAGTGCAGATTTGGGGGTGAGAGACAGCTGAATTCAAATCCTGGCTCTGCCACTTACCAGCTGTGTGATCTTGGGGAAGGTTCAACTTTTCTGAGTTTTATTATTCTCATAATAGAACCTATTCACAAGATTTTTTTTTGAAGATTAAGTGTGATAACATGGGTAAAGCACTGTGGGCTCAATTCACAGAAGCACTCAATGTATAGTAGCTATTATGAAAGGAGTAGTGTCACTATGTGTATCAAAGTGGGATAAGGAATCTCAGGGTCTGTTATCCTGATCGCAGGCAATCGGAGTCTAATAATACTCACAACTGAACTCTCAGAACCACAGTCAGTAATCCAAACATAAGGCCAGCTAGTAAACCAAGGTCCAGCCCCAGAATGATGGACGCAATACATGTAAACACCCAGATAGCCTAGGAAAAAAATGGGAATGGAAAAGAATCACAGTAATTCATCAGGTACCATCAGGTGAGAGTCTGCCTGTAGAAATAATAAGATCAATTTTCCAAGAACAAATTATAGTTTTTAATATTCTGACTTTATTTCATATTTAAGTGGGAGTGGAAATTGATCTTCCCAGTAAAGACCAGCTGTCCCATTTAAATGTTTTTCTATTTAATTTTTGAATAGGTAATATATTAACAGGGGTCAAAATGGAATTAATATGTAAAGGTTGTACAATGGAAAATCTTCTTTCCAACCCCCTCCCTTCCCCACCCATTCCCAACTTCCCTCCCTAATTGTATCCTTTTATTTCTGTGTGTGTGTGTGTGTGTGTGTGTGTGTGCATGCACATGTGGACACTTCACCAGCATTTCTTTTTGCAAATACAGGCAAATATAAACACACAGCATATCTTATTTTCCTATCTTTTAGTGTATCATCCACACTATTCTATTCTGCACTGATCTCTTTTTTTTCTTAAAAGTTTGTCTGGAAGATATTTCAATATCAATATATAGGAAGTTTTCTCATTCTTTTTATCTGTCCTGGTTTAAATTAGAGCAGCACACAAAAGGACTTAACTTCTGGTTTTTACAGTTCCTCAGAATGGTTGTGAAGGTTAGTTTGATCAGAATTATAATCAAGGGTTTTGGACTTTTTGTTTTCTTTTTGCTCAGTGCTGTGTTTTGTTTCATTTGTGCTTGTAAACTAGAGTTCACAACTGAAATATGTAAACTAGAATGTGTTTAGCTGGTTTGTGGCCAAGGGTATATGAATGAGCTCATATGGGATTCTTCCTGGATGGCAATGGATCTCCCCAGGGACACAGTCTCTTCACAAAACTTGTCCACCTGGCAGACCTCACAGCTTTGGCTTACCCACACAATTTTAATTTCTGCTCTGGGGTTCCCAAAATGCGAGTATGACTTGAAAGATAAGGGGACACGATGATGTGGCAAGAAGCATTTAAGAACCAACTTTTATTTCAGAGAAAAAAATGGGTGGTAAGTGACTTACAGCATCAATCTTATTCTGCCTCCACAGACGAGGAATGTCACACACCTGCATAAACATCCCTTTCAGGTTGGCAATTACAACAGCTGCCAAGACTGACTGCCAAGAGAGACAGGGAAGGCTGCGTTATTTAGGGGAATGGTTTTCCATGGGATGCTTCAAAACCCTCCTGTTATTTCTCTGGTGGCAGAGCAATGAAGGGAAATTATACAATCAATGTGCCAAGGAGCAGGTTATACCTTCTGCAAGGGTTCCAGCAGCTTCCCCAGGGCAACAATGGCGACCATCACAATCCCAGCGGAGATAATGCCAGCAACCTGAAAGACATGCACCTCCTATGAACAGGGCCCGCCCTGCTCCCTGGGGTCTCCAGGCTCCCTGGGTGTACACAGGAGCCTGCCTGCCTGTGGGTGCCCCTGATGCTTCCCTACTGCCCATTCTGCTCAGGACTGTTAAGACAGATGAGAATTATTTACTAAAACTCTACACAATTGAGGAAAAATGGAAAACATATACACAGGAACTGTGACAGAGAGACTAAAGAAAATTCGGAGACTGAGCATGCTGAAATAAAGCCAGTTTGACCTGAATTTCATTTGGATGTATTACACACCTATAGCTTGAGTGTCAACTCAGAAGGCCAAACTTCTGATAATTTGCCCCACCAGGAAACATGCAGCTCCCCCCTTCCCTGGAACAGGCTGTTGTAGTGTTCTTGGGAAAGAAATCCTCAGGGCACATATCTGATTCGTTTGCATTATTGAAGCAGCAGCCATAATAGGAACACCCAGCACTTCGTTCTCGGAGCACATGGTTCCCATGGTAGTGTCAGAGAAAAAAATGTACCAGTCCTACTGCAAATTCAAAATGCTACATGAGCCTATGGAGAGGTGGGCCCGTGCCTCCCTTTCTCTCATGGTTCCCCAGGTGCGGCTCAGAGTTTGGCCCACAGCAGCCCAGCGGGTGACAGGCAATGGCAGGGGTGAAGGACCTTCAGAAACTTTACCTTCGCAGGCAAAAAAGCTCTCCTAAGATCCATAAATAGTTAGGAGAGAGCTGAGGGAGTGGGACTATTCTCTGATTAGATGACCACTGAATTATCTGCTGAGACAGCTGAGGCATGGCCAAGGTGGACTAGAAGCTCTGAAACAAAGGAGAGAAGGAGACAGGGAGCCAGAAGCAAAGTGATCAGAGAGGAAGCAGCAGGCAAGACTGGCGTGGGCCCGAATGCTGCCTAGTGCAGGATGCTGGAGCAGCAGGAGACAGACAGAGCCGATATGAACAGGCAAGCCACAGGCTTCAGGACATTTCACAGTCACTCTTTCACCCCACCTGGCAAAGTGGTGGCTCACGTTCAGGCTGTGGTCAGTCAGCCTGAGGCTATAGCATATAATGTTCTAAAAACTTGGCTTTGGGCATCCAGATTCCTTTTTCTAGGCTCCTTGTTACCAGCTGGGCCCACATGTCCAGGTTCCCAATACCTTGGTGGCTTTCTCCCCAGCTATGTAAGCAGAGAAGCCACCACCCTCCCTGTCTCCCTCCCTCCCTCGCTTCCTTTCTTCCATACCATTACTTGGTCAATATTTACTGTCTCACTGAGGGTGTAGGGCTCTGTGAATTGGTGAGAGTGATGGAGATTTGGGGGCAGGGACCACAGGCAGCTGCCCAACTCATGGTAGCCACCTACTTGCCAGATAATATGTAATATGTAATAATATGCCTCCAGTCACCAGGGCCCAAGATGAGTTAGGGTCACTACATTCAGATCTGTGAGGGTCCATTACTTGTACTTACTTTACAAGGCTGGTTTGTGGGACATGCTAAAGATTTTATATCTGTGAGCAGATTCAGTTACTAGAAAATGGATTATTCTGTTGAGAGGGTAATCAGAGCCAGAAAACAGTTTGTAATCAGAAATAGTTTTTCACGAGTCTGCAGGAGTCAGGTGGGGCTGAGAGAAGGAACAGATTGCAATGTTGAACTCCACAATCTGCAGACATGCTGAAAACAGTTAATGATCACTAACGCTCACTCTGCCATTCACTCACTTGGCAAATATTTGCTGGGTGCGTCTTACATGTCAGGCACAATACGTGTATCATAGGTACTATGACGCTGGTCCTATCTTGAGGAGTTAATGACTGAAACAATGAGGATTTACAAACATGTGGCAAGACTTCACCAACATTTTCTTATTTAATCCTCACAACAGCCCTATGAGGCGGATATCATTATTCTTCCCATTATATAGAGACTGAAACTGAGGCTCCAGCCTAAGAGAAAACATGGGAAGCCACACAGCAAGGGAAGACCTGCCAGTTTATTTGGTCACGAGTCCCTGGATTTCAGTCCAGGTACTTAGACCTCTAACCCCAAAACTTAGTATACATTTCAGTAATTAAGTAGCACGCCATTTCTGTGCTTGTTTCATTCTTCAATACTGAAATCCTGGCATCTTTCATTCCTAACTATAATACACTCCAGTGTGGGGCAGGGGGTATTAGCTTACCGGAACACCATTATCCCCAAGCCCTCTGCCAAGGAGTCACCTTACACAGGCATTCTTACTGGGGTGGCTGGGCCTGTGCCTCACTTGAGCCTGGAGGTAACGGCGAGAGAGTGGACATGAGCAGCCGGGGATGGGCCTGCCCCCACCGTAGCCTTGTGTCCTGAGTGTGTCAAGGTCCTGTCTCACACAGAGGCAGCAGAAGCTCCTGCAGCTGACAGCTGCCACCGGACACCAGTATGCTTTTGGAAATCACCTCTGACCTCTCCCGCTTCATCGCAGATCTCTGGGTGGGCCTCCTGGAATGGACTGTATTATCTAACCACACAGGGAGAAATGTTTGCCCCCCACAGGGGAAACTCAATTTTAAAAAGAAAAATTCTGAAAATTAAAATTAAAAATTGTGTTCAATAGGACCCAAGATATTGGAAGAGGATCATTCCTCCAACCCCGTCACAAAGATCCATGATAAATCATGCACACCTAGGTGACAATTAAAGCCCTCCCTGGGCAATCCATGTTGGAGTCATTAGCAGTCTCAGTCTCTTTTATACTTATTTGCAAGTGTCTTCCTTATCGGAAGACAGTGTGTGTGTGTGTTACACTATTTATTTTGGGTTTGTTCTCATTTACAGTCTCAATGAACTTTTTACTCAAATAACAGCTCTTTCTGTGTTGAGAGGAAAACCCTCCATGCAAAACATAAACACAATTCCCAAGGCCAGCCCTGTTCCCATCTACTTGATTGGCATATCTGATTCCATGTACTCCTGTAAAGGATGGCCTTTGAGAAAAAATCCAGAGCTTTCCAGCCAATAAAAGGAGGGTTTATCCAGAGATTAACTGAGGTACTGGTTTTGGGGTTACCTTGAGAATTTTAGGGAAAAAAAAAACCTTACTCAAAAAGAAATGTCAAAATGTTATAATAAAAATATTCTTGGCTGGCAAACTGTTGCTCTGGGGACCAGAGGCCTCTGGAGGGAGACCTGATCCTTATAACATCTCTGATCCTTGTAAAGGAAATGTAAATAGATGCTTTTTCTTGTCCTGAGAATATCCTCACTCACTAAGCCTTCTCTTTCCCCAGATAACAAGTGGATACAAATCAGCATATTCTTCATCACAGATTCCCTCTCAGTCATTACTATCCCTGGAAAAGCAGGATAGCATAGCTCTCTGCCAGCTGGGCACTGCCCTTCCAATTCAAAGAGATTTGTTTGCTAATTGCTGCATAAATGTTGGTGGGGCGGGAGATCAAGGAGACAGATAGGCCCTGGTGGGACCAGATGAGGAAGTACGAGTCTCTCCCTTCCCAAAGGCTAAATGTCCTGCTCGGTTCTGGTGCAAGCCTCTCTGAGCCACCATTCCCCTTCCCCCGATCGTTCATTGAGGAAGAAGGTATTACCACGCCAGCCGCCGTCCTGTACCTGTGTCTTTCCCCCAGTGCTCTCCTGGACAGCAGTGCGGGACAGGGCAGTGGTGGCCACAAAACAAGAGAAGAATCCCGAGAAGATGTTGCTGATCCCAAAGGCAATGAATTCCTAAGGGAGAGACTGGATGACAGCAATGCCACAAACATAGGCTTTGCAAGCCCCTCACCAACTGTTTAAGAACATTAAGAATGCAAACTCCCAAACCCTAGCCCCGATTTGGTTTTTCCCATTCAAGGTGCTGGGCAGCCTTGAAAGACACTAGGAGTTTGTGCTCCACAGAGTCCTCTCTGCTGTCAGTCGTTTTGAAGGTTGTCAAGGTATGGTAACTGATCTCTGCAAAATGCTTATTTCACTTCCTGGTGCATGGCACATAGGTAGCGCTCATAGAAAGCATTTTTTTCTGCGGCTGTGTATTGGCCATGAAGTATATTATGACTAGGAGGGCTATTATTCTGCTTGATGATGAATCATTTAACTGCTGTAATTGCAATGCTGTGCTCTCGGAAACAAACTGTACTTGCATTTTTGTGAACAGAGCAGTGTAAAATCAGCTCACCTGGCAATGTATCATACGCCTACAGACACTGTCCTGCATTCCTGAATTGCACAATGAACCACCTCAATTTCAAGTGGTCACAACTATTATCAATGGTGTTCATTGCCCTATTTTGTCATCACAGCTGCCATTAAAGAAAATTTAACCAGGAGATACTTACTCTGGACTAAAATATTAACTTCTAATGTTATTTATGCACTGACAGAATTAACCTTTAAAATTAGGATTGCTTCAACTTATTTCTTAAAAAGGAAAGTATTGCAGCATGCATATTTCAAAATAAATGCCAAATAAGCATGTACATGAGGGAAACCAACTCACTAAGTTCTGGTGGAAGAAACCAAACCCTTCTCTAGCAGACAACACAATCTTTCCCATTTTATGTTTTTTTATTTTCAGCCCGATTTGGGAAAAGGGTGACCATACCTGGTTCCCATCGATGGTGTAATCATGCTTGATGGCATATACTTTTCCTACAGACACAGCAATAGCATAAGCCACCACAGCGATGGAAAATGATGCAGCCAGCATCTCAGAAAACAAGCTCACAGGTGGAAGTGCGGGAGGCAGAAACCTAGTGAGTTTTTTAATGACAAAATGCAGTGAAGACTTGACCACAATTCTCTTTTTCTACCTCATCAAATGCTGTATCAAACCAGCAACAAGTCAGACAGAAAACTACTTGATCCAGGAAGGCAAAAAGCACCTATGGGACATAAGCAGCTGTATCTGCTTTTATAACTTTTCATCAGAAGTTGGTGTTATCTCACTGGTGGTTTCCTTTGTCCTCCTACTTGAAAGCCTACAAGTGCCACCTTTCACCTTATCTGTACCTCTGAAATCAATAAATCTGTCACTACAGATTCTTTAATATCACACAATCCCATGCCCTGATGTTTCACACATTAGTGTTTCTCCTTACACTGTTTCATCTTGAAGGTTGTTAAATGTAAAAGATACCCTAGCCCATAAAATGCAATTTACCCTGTATGGAGAGATGTCAGGTCTGTGGGACTAGAAAATAGCATTATCCTAAGAGACAGAATATAAGATGCTAAAAGAGCTAAGTGGAAAATCCATCCATATCTTAAGAGCCATGATGTTTAAAATTTTCTTGAATCCAAAAATGATTAAATTTAGGTAAGTATCAGAATGCTCCATGGTCACAATAACTAAGACATCCCAATGAGTGTGGAGTCTAATGACTCTACAAACCAGATAAAGAAATAACATGCACACCTGAAACCAATATAGTATTTTATACCAACTACAGTAAAAAAACATTTTTAAAAAGAAATAAATCTACAAGTTAATAATCATGTGGTTGTCCCTAAAAATAAATATTTGGGGATGACTTTCATGTACCTATATCTTGATGACTATTCATATGGTCTAAATCTAGAGGTCTCTAGTCAAAACAAAAATCAAAAAACCAAACCAGTCTCTCCCACTTACCTTACTTACACCTGATGTTCCTTTAATAGGAAATTATATTTTGTTCCCTATAATTAAGGGAAAGTGGTAAAGTAGAAATAAGATTCTTACAACAAAACTGTAGACATTTAGAGTTAGATAATATCTTAGTATTATCCAAATTAATATCCTAACCTAATATCCTAGAAATTGTTGAATACACCTCTCTCATTTTGTTGAGAAGGGTACTGAAGCCCAGAAAAGTGAAGTGTCTTGTTTGGGGTCATTTAGTAGATCCAGGTATGAATGGTAAATGTTCGGTGATTTCCTAGGTCCAGCTCTGCTGGTTCTCTGCCCTTTCAGCCTTTTTCTCCCCAAATGTGAGGTCAATTTTCAGACTCCAATTCTCCCACATCACATCCTAACCCACATGTAAGCTCAGGAATGGATCTTACCTGCAGGCAGGGGGACAGTGGGAACCCTAACCCAGAACTTGAGTGACTCAGCATCACAGCTCCACTAGTCTGGATGTGACCTTGGACCTCACTTCTCAACACCAGGCTTCTGACTTGTTCCTGAGACCCAATCAACCCCACTGCAGGTAATGGGGTCGGTCAGGATAATGGCTATTTTCCAGTCCCACAAAGAGGTTAGTTTTGATAGCAATCTAATGACTACTGCCTGGCTGGCTGCCTACTTCTCCAAATCCAGATCCTTCCAACAAATCCTTGATTAAAAGTGGAAAATACGAACACTTGAAGTCAAAGGACCTGAAGACTGGCTCCATCACTCTGTAAGTAACTTTCTGACTTGGGCATATTATTTATTCCTTCCAAGTTCCAGTTTTTTCAGCTGTCAGATAGGGACTCTATACTCTTCTCAAGGGTTATTGGAAGGTTTAAATGAAGTATTAGATGTGTAAGCAACTAGTACCTACACACAGTAGGCACTCAGTAAATGATGGCCAAGAGCCTGCCATCCATCTGTATTGTGTTGCTGAATCTTAATGGTGCCAATTTTTTGCCCTGAGTCACTCAACTTGGGGCCCTGGCTCGACATCACCCTATGGCATCCGAGCAAGCCTTTCCCCTGGCTCCTGCCCTCCCTCAGTGGACATAACTCTTGGCAAATTGTGTGCTCCTCAGTGGCCCCATTTGGCTGCAGCCAGCCCTTCCCCATCTGGCCTGGCCATGAAAGAACGCACAAAGGGGAGCCAGAGTGTGACGCACACTTTCTGAAAAGATGAGGATGGGGAGTGGGGATCCCTGAAGGGCCAAGGGACCCACAGGGGGAGTCAGCCCGATGAACATGACACCAACTGCACCCTTTTACTTCAGGCTGGCCCTAACATTCGGCACACACGCTGCCACTCCAGCTACAGTGGTTAAAGTGGCCCTCAGAAGGCAGCCTGGAGAATCCCCCTGTGCTGCACTTTCAAGTTCAAGTGCAAAGCGCATCACTTTGAAACAGTGGTGACAAACATGATGACGATGAGGACCACTGGTGAGGAGGGGGCCTGTCACTGTATGCGCAGAGATGAGGCAGAGAAGAAAGAGTAGGGACTAAAGTGTAGAGGAAAAGAAGTCTATCCTGTTGGTATGGGTTTAAAAAAAAAAGAAAAAATAGGACAGAAGAGGTCAAAGAGAAGCCTAGGTTCTAATGAGTAAGGAGCTGGACACATTAAGAGCTGCAGTATAAAGACCAGTTACATGAGAAGATGGGCATGTTGTGACCAGCCCTCTTAGCAGCAGCTGGTTAAGGAAAAGTCTTAGTGAATTTGAATGAGGCTGTTGCTTTGGGTGAATCCTAGTGGGATGCTCAGATACTGACTGGACATGGAACAGTTGTATGTTTGTCCAGGGAGAGAGAAGCAGAGTCTAGGTTTTGGCTCTCCAATGGGATAGTGCTGTTGGGACTGAGCTATCCTAACACATGGCATTGACCCTGAATGGGAGAAAAGGAAGCTGCCACCAGCAGCCTTGGTTTTATTGCCTTATTGGAGGATTGGAGCAGGAGGGGAGCCCAAGACGGTCTAGCACAGTCTTTCTCTTTATTCCTCTTCTTTTCATCATACGCATTCTATTTTCCTTTTCTTCAGTCTCTCCACTCCACCCTTCCTTTTCCAGGTTTGTTTAATGTCATTAGACTTGCTTCTGTGCTACCATGTGAGGTCAGACAATAAAGGCCAATCTTGTGGCTTGTTTACAATGGCATATGCTTGGGTATTTTACCCCTTCAACAACTGTTGCCTACTATGAGCTAGGTACTGTGCTGCGAAGATGGGGCCGAACAAGACAAATGGGCTCACAGCCCCCGATGAGGAGCATGTAGTCCTCCGGGCAGGCAGCTTAGGTTAGCCGCCCACTCACACCACGTGGTCTGTCAGAGGATTCAACTCACCTAAACCCAAGAACAAGTGGCTAGAGATCCATTCTCAGAGGAGAGCAAGGAAAGCTCTGGAGAGGGCCAGAAAGGAGAATGGAAGGCAGCAGAAATGAGTTCCCCAAATCTATTAATGGAACATAGATTGATGGACAGGACCACCTCCAAGGGGCCCATCTAAGGAAGCTTGACAGAATAGACCTATGAAATATATATTTTACGGGATAGTTGTTTGTTTGTCACTACTCAAACAATCCACTTGCTAGAGTGAAAATGCCAGAACAAGCAGCCACACACTGCATCTTTTATCAACAATTCCCTCCAGCATCAGAAATCACTATCAAAACGTTGATCCTGTAATGTAGAATTTCCTAACTTAATCTAATCATAAGAATCACTTGAAGTGCTTTTGAAAAATATACATTGGCAGGCCCCTTGTCTGAAAAGCCTGATTCAGTAGGTTTGGGGTGGGAACCAGGAATCTGTGTTAACAAGGATTTCATGTGACTCTAGATACACTAGAGTGGATAATATATAAGTTAATCCCCATGGAGCTGCTTGTAATTTTTCAGATGAACAGATATTAGAAGTAATCAGAAATCTTACGGTTGATCAAATGGAAAGGCAGCAGCTCCCTGCAGAACAGCGCTAGGATTTAGCTAGCCTGAGAAGTTTCTAGTAAGAGCATGGAAATTAAAGACTAGTACAAGGTCCCTCAGCTAATATAAAGAGGAGAGACTAGTACTTACTGGTTATCTAACAGCAAGTCTAGTTGTAAATGCTACGAGTTAATATCACACGTCTAATAAACATCTGGACCACTTTTTTAATGCCATATGATAAAACTATAGTATAGGGCCCTTGGTCCACTCTGCATTTTATGAGAGATCTCAATGGCATCTCACAACAAACCTGAGTTGAGATCTCCACAGCTGTCATTACCCTAGTTTTATAGGAGCACCCCACCTCTACCCCTGGGGACACAGATCTAGACATGGACAGAGATGGACAAATGGCCTTAGTTCCTTGCTCTTCTAATTCACCAATTCACCAACATATGTAAAACCTCCCTTGAAGACAATGTATTTTACTTATAGGAACAAATGATACAATTATCACCAAAGACTGATTAAACCAAATGGTGACGAAATTAGGCCAGGGGTCCCTTATTCCTTAAACAGATTGTTCTAGGTACGATAAATGTTACTGACCATCATTTTATTTATATTATATTATAATTACATATATGACTTTAAATCAGGAGTCTGGTGTTAACTTTACACATTCTGCCACATTTTATGAAAATCAAGAAAGGAGAGAAAGCATATATGGGGGCTGCTTTTAAACAAATGGCTTGAACTTTATCTATACACACATTACTTATCTGATAGTTTGTACGAATGGGTGTTTCTTCAAGATCACACACAAATAAGACTATTGAAGGAACACCAACAAAATGAAGCTTTTAGTAATAAAAGGTTTCATTTTAATAGGAAGTACTGACAGTACATTAGTATTGCCTAAGAGGAATGCCACACTCACCCCCTTGGGATGGACTTGACAATGCCGGCATTGTAGTTTTTTTCCAGGTTGGTCCCATATGAAATGGCAGTAGCAATTATTGTCTAAAATAAAACAAAAGAGATTTAAGAAGAAAAGAGAAAAAATCTCTCCATTTGTTTTAACAATTCCTTTCTTGTCAAATAAATTAATGTTGAATTTTCTATTTACACATTCTACTTACCACAATTACTTCTATAGGAATAGGAACTGGGATTTTGTGTTTAAATCGGTCATTTAATTCCTTAACTGCCATACAGATGATAATGGTCAGTAATCCAGCAGTTAAATCAGCAAGATTGGTGTTACCAGCATTTTGAAAAATCTCAATCAGAGTCTGTAAAAAGAAAATGATTTTGTACACGTCCCATGTGAAAAATCATTTTCATTATCAAAGGGCTAATATAATGTGAAGAAGTCATCTGACTTTCATATGAAGTCATAAAAATGTATTGAATGTATTGACTAATACAGAGACCATTAAAGACATACAGTTTTGCAATATATATGCCAAGTTATTAATGGTGGTTCACTTGGAGTGGTAAAACTATGGGTGAAGTCTACTTTCTTAATTTTGCTTAACTGTGTTTTTTACAATAACAACGAGATCTCTTAAAAGAAATCATTATATACTATCTTTTACTTGCAGAAAAGCTTTGAAAGTTTACTTTCATCTTAAAGTGGTTTTACAATGACCTCATTTTCACCATATTGATATTTTATTATTGAGACTAATAAGCTAATAAACCAACAGGTCCCAGTTAGCCAGTATTTTAGATAAAGCTCTTCCCTAAACCTGAATGACAGGTTATAATAAAAATACCTAAAATACCTTATATGTAGATACATGTGGCCTGATCCATTCTTTTTGGCAAAGAAAAGCTACCAAATTGAGATATGGGTCAAGCACAAATTTCTGGAAATTAATTTGGTACTTAGTACAAACCTGAACTAAGAAGACTTAGTAAAAAGTAACTTAAATAATAATAATAAAAAGTGACTCATATAAAAGTAACTCCTTTCAGGTGTGTAGACAAGCCAGATCAAGAAAAATCCACTTTTGTTTTGTAAATAGGTTTCTGGGAATCAAGGGAGATTAGCAAGGGAGAATCCCAGGGAAGAACACTAATATCTTTGTTATAGCAACATCAGTCCGGCAGAAAGCATGACTTAAGGTATTCCTCAATTCTTTGAGACAACTGATTCCCCAGAGAAGGTTATTTTTCTTTGAATGAGTCCTTTATAGATATATTTTTACAGGCATACCTCAGAGATACTGCAATTTCAGACTACCGCAATAGATCGAATATTGCAATAAAGCAAGTCCAGTGAACTTTTTGGTGTTCCAGTTCATATGGAAGTTATGTTTACACTATACATAGTCTATTAAGTGTACAATAGCATTATGTCCAAGAAAAACAATTATATACCTTCATTTTTAAAATACTTCATTGCTAGAAAATGCTAATCACATGTATACACAGGTCAAAACAAATCCAGATTTTGTGCATTTTATTGTATGTACCTCAATAAAAATAAATTTCCTTTCATGCAAAAAAAAAAAAAGAATTGCAAAGCAGTAACCTATAAGGATACAGATTCTGATGGTCGTGAAACTCTTTAATCTCCTGTATGTGAGAGAAACAAATTCCTATCTTGATCTTTAAAAAAGAAGAAAAGGCTAACCGTCATGTGAACTTTCAGTGAGGCATAATCTTTTTGCTGGCGGATGGTCTTGCCTACATGTAAATAAATGGCTGACTGATCAGGAGGGAGGTTGCTAAAGACTGGGCAATTTCTTAAGATAAGACAATAAAAAAATGAAGTTTGCCACATAGATTGACTCTTCCTTTCATGAGTGACCTCTGCAGCATGCAGTGCTATTTGACAGCGTTTTCCCCACAGCAAAACTTAGTTCAAAATTGGAGTCAGTCCTCTCAAAGCCTTTTGCTGCTTTATCAACTGAGTTTATGGCATATTCTAAACCTTTGCTGTCATCTCAACAATCTACACAGCATCCTCACCAGGAGTAGATTCCACCTGAAGAAATCACTTGCTTTGCTCATCTTTTCATCTGTTTTATCATGAGATGCAGCAATTCAGCCACTTCTTAAGGTTCCACTTCTAACGCTAGTTCTCTTTGCTGTTCCCATCACATCTGCAGTTACTTCTTCCACTGAACTCTTGAACCCCTCAAAATCAATCACGTAGGGTGGAATTAACTTCTTCCAAACTCCTGTTCATGTTGATATTTTGACCTCTTTCCATGAATCACAAATGTTCTTCATGGCATCTAGAATGGTGAATCCTTTCCAGAAGGTTTTCAATTTCCTTTGCCCAGACCTATCAAAGGAACCACTGTCTATGGCAGCTATAGCCATACAAAATCTATTTCTTAAATAATTTCTAACCTTATTAAATTAATTTCTTGAAAGTTGAAATGGTACCTTGATCTGTCGGGCTGCAGCAGAATGGATACTGTGTTAGCAGACAAGGAAACACATTCATGTCATTGTACCTCTCCATCAGAGCTCTTGGGGGGCCAGGTGCATTTCTGATGAGAAGTCATATTTGAAAGGAATCTTTTTTTCTGAGCAGTAGATCTCACAGTGGGCTGAATATATTCAGTACACGATATTGTAAACAGATGTGCTGTCATTCAGGCTTTGTTGTTCCATTTATAGAGCACAGGCAGAGGAGATTAGCATGTCCCAGGATTTTTGGAATGCTAAATGAGCGTTGGCTTCAACTAAGTCACCAGCTACATTAGCCCCTAAATAAGAGAGTCAGCTTGTCCTTTGAAGTTTCGAAGCCAGTCATTAACTTCTCCTCTCTAACTATGAAAGTCCTAAATGGAATCTTCTTCCACTAGAAGGCTGTTCTGTCTACACGGAAAATCTGCTGTCTAGCATAGCCACCTTCATCAGTGAGCCAGATCTTCTGGATAACTTGCTGCAGCTTCCGCATCAGCACTTGCTGCTCTGCCTGCCCTTTTCGGTTAATGGAGACGCTTCATTCCTGAAACCTCACAAACCAACTGCTAGCTTCAAACTTTTCCTTCTGCAGCTTCCTCACCTTTCTCAGCCTTCCTAGAGTTGAAGGTATTGATGGCCTTGTTCTGAATTGGGCTTTGGCTTCAGGGAATGTTGTGGCTGGTTTGATCTTCTATCCAGACCACTCAAACTTCCTCCCTATCATCAATAAGGCTCTCTCACTTTCTTATCCTTTGTGGGTTCACTGGAGTAACACTTTAATTTCCTTCAAGAAATTTTTCCTTTGCATTCATGACATGGCTAACTGCCACAAGAAGCCTAGCTTTTGACCTATCTCAGCTTTCTACATGCCTTCCTTACTAAGCTTAATAATTTCTTAGCCATTTCTTTTGATTTAAAGTGAGAGACATGAGACACTTAGAGGTCATTGTAGGGTTATTAATTGGCCTAACTTCAATATTGTTGTGTCTCAGAGAATAGGGAAGCCAAGGAGAAGGAGAGAAATGGGGGAACAGACAGGTAGTGGAGCACACCAATATCTACCAATTAAGTTTACTGTCTTATGTGGGCGTGGTTCCTGATGCCCCCAAAACAATGATCATAATTACATAAAGGTCACTGACCACAGATTACCGTAATATAATAATAATAATGAAAACATTTGAAGTATCACAAGAATTACCAAAATGTGACACAGAGACATAAAATGAGCAAAAAATGGTGATAGCAGATTTGCTCAACACATGGTTGCCACAAATCTTCAATTTGTAAAAGACACAGTATCCATAAACTGTAATACTGCAAAGTATGATAAAATGAGGTGTGCCTGTTTATGAAGATACAGATGGAACATCTTTTAGCTTATAACACATATCTTACTTATTTTTCTAAATGAAGTATAGCTAAAGTAATTATAATGAAAGTCTGGTAACAATTATGTACATTAAGTAATCTAGGAGTTATTTTGTCAGCAATCTCAACTCTCTGGAAAATATTCAAGAGTAAGGGAATTATTGTGCAAGCAAAATACATTCCTTTAAGTGCTTGAACTATGGCTCAAACATTTGACTTGTAGGAAGCATCTTGGTCTTACCTTCAGAGGGTATTTTTGTTCTGGCTTTAAACCCAACAAATGTACTTTGCCTGCTTTCCAGAGTCAATGAAAATTTCTTGAGGCAGATACAGTGATAGCAAAAGATGAAGCAGTGATAGCAGGGTGAAAAGGAGAAAATGGAGAAACTGCCGCAATAACACAAGCACAGTAACTCAACGGCTTAGCTCATCGACCATTGGAGCGAAGAGCCCTATATACCTCAAGGTCTTCAAAGTATTGCTGTCTGGCCCTTTACATCATCAATTTTCTGATGATGACTCTCATTAATTCATGAGCTAGATATAGTATTTCAATTAACTGTCTGTGCAATAAAGCCTTACTTTCAACTCAAGATGGAAAAATTCAAGCTTCAAAATAAACGAAGTAACTATCCCAATCTCAAAAACATTTTCACCTTACAAAAGAGATCACTATAGGATTTCCACTTAATTATGAGACTCACATAGACGTTTAAATAAAAAAACACATCTGGTGTTTTTAAAATGTAAAATGTGTTGCAAAAAACAGAATTAATTGATATTACACAACTGCATGAAATAAGGCACATGAATATACTAGTTGCCTATATATTAAGCAATCATTCAAGATGTTAAGAAAAGTTTTACAATAGGTTCATATGTTTTATGTGGAAATAAAACTCACTTATACAAACTGAAGTAGACAGATTGTCCTCAAAGATACAGAAATGCTAAGTACTGAAAAGTAATTCAAATTTAGCTTAGTATTAAAATCCCTACTAAAATATGTTTAAAATATGGACACATAGCCTCATATCGAAGTTACCGAGTATCATAATTCCTCCAGGTGGTAAAGATACCTCGAGACAAGTGCTGGGCATAGAAGCCACAGGGCATAAATCTGCAAAGAAGTAAAAAGCTAACCTTTTCAAACAATATGGCTTCTCTCTCACTTACCAACTTTACATTTCCCTGTATGGCCCCGGAAGATGACTGGTTAGCCAGAGACGGGTAAGATTCCTCAAGGGAGGAACAACCTAAGACAGGCACAGTCGCAGGGGGGCCATCAGGTGAGAATTTGGGGATCAACAGAGGTGAGGCTCAGAACCTCACCCCCCCTGCTTTGAGAGAAATCTTCTGCATCCGTGGATGTTTTGCTGCCCTTGTCTAGCCTGGATTAATACTTAGTCCATAGGCACACACCTGATCATCTGATCATCTACATTTGCCCTCTTACAGCACTAAACTATGTTTTCTACCTTTATCTTGCATCTACCTACCACTTCAGCATTTTATTAAAAATAAAAATAATAATAATAATAAAGGGAGAAATGTGGGATCCACATATAAATCAAGTATAAAAATCAAATGAATATTCATTTTTGACCTGATTGTTTTAGTTCATAATGCGTGATCAAAACTGAAAGTTTCTGTGATGAATGCCCTTGTACTGTTCACCATGTAAGAATTTATTCACTGTGTAAGAATTCGTTCACCATGTAAGAACTTGTTCGTTATGCTTCAGAAGATTGGAGACTGACGAGAGTTAGGCTTGAGATGGATTAATGATTGTACATTGAGCATTGACCCCCCTATACTGAATTATATTGTTGTTAACAACCATTTGATCAATAAATATGAGAGATGCCCTCTCAAAAAAAAAAAAAAATATGGACACATACATGACTCCATATTTCAGCCTACTATTCTGAATCATTCAAATTATGATACTGAGCCTTACAGTAATGGATACCATATTTCCTACCATGCTAGGAGAATATTAGGACCACTTCATTGACATAATTTCTTCTTGCCTAGTATTAGTCAGGAGTATGAAGCCATAAGGAAAAATTGTACCTCGTACTGTGTATGAGGAAATTTATCGGTTAACTTCTGTTGCCAAATTTCTTTTAATTCATCTTACCTCTAAGAATATAACTCTTCATAATTACCCCTTGCTATCAGGCATGTCCTCCTACCTGAAGTTATGCACATATAGATCAACACTTTAAGTGTTACTTAGATTGTTAATGGCTTAATTTTTACGTTCTGAAATTGATTCAAAGTAATGAATCTGATCATTACTTTGAAGCTTTGTGATGGCTTTCAAAACTCACCATCTGGGTAGAACTTTTCAGTGTAGTCTTCCTCCTCATTAGGGGAGGAAATGAGGAGGTCCCATCAATTTAGTGAACAAGTAGAAAGGCCTCCTTTGAGAAAAACTATTCCAAGTGAGTGGTAGGAAAACACAATCACTCTTAAATAGACTGTGTGATTTACTTACATAATTGAGTAGCTACATGGTAGCACGAAGAACATTACCAATTCTGAATTCTGCCAACACCCTGTCGTTTTCCCATCTGCATCCTATACCCAGCATCTCTGGCATTTGTAAAGTTTTTCTTCTCCTTTCTTTCCCAATATTTCCTCCTCCAATTCTTTGTATTCATTATTTCTTTCTTTGGGTGGGAAGGAGGGCAATCCAAAGCACAGCTTTCTAACAAAAGGGATTTTAAGTTAACTACATTCCAGAGAAAGCATCTTACAACAATCTTTCAGTCTTTCCTGGAGGAATCCATCGCTGCTCTGCATTTGTTGAAGGATTCTTTCATGAATGGCCGCGCTGGGAATGCTATGAACAAAATTCTCTGTTCAGATACTGAGTGGCTCATTCAATCCCTATGCAATCATTTCCACACCTGCTGATTCTTTCCTTTCAGAAAAGCAAGCTTACATTCACCATCGCACAGGGATGACTGAAGTATCTCCATCCAACTGGGGTGGCCTGAGGGCAACTTTTTGCAAATTCTAGGACACATTCTAACCTGGGTCCTCAAGACTAATGTTGAACATGACATGAGTCACGTAATCATTGTGCTGGCTTAACAACTATTTTTTACTTCGTTCTGGTGTTTCCTGGTTACTTTTGTCCCTGTTGAAAGTGGGATCATTTGCAGCAAGCTCCGTCTTAAACATAGTCCTAGGAGACCAGAAGAAATACTTCGGTCCTCTGTCTGCAGAGGTCCACCAGTGTCCAGGGACCCAGGTTAACTGCTCGCCTAGGCCTCCTGTAATCTGTGTGGATGCAGGCCCAGCAATGTTCACACACAGAGGTGAGTCCCCTCAGGAAGGCACATCTTGGTGGAGTCACGGGTTGGTGGGTTTGTATAGGGAGTAAAAAGTGCCTGGCATATGGTAGATCATTAACTAAAACTTACTGAAGAGATGGATTCAATGAACGACACTGTAAGAACACATGACTGAGCAGTTAACAGGGAAAGTATGAAAGCAAGAAAAAGCAAGATGTGTCCGGGACTGTGACAGCGAGCGAGCCTGTCACAAAGGACAGTGAGAGGGTTTCAAAGCACACCAAGGACTTGGCAGGAAGAAAAGAGCAACATTGACAAAAACAAGGCTAAATCAAACAACAGCCTGTGCTCATGTCTTCTAATGCGCTGGGTCTTTGGGAAGTGAATAGTCAGCCCCGTGAAGTCTATTTATCATGATAATGAAAATAATAATAAACTGAGTTCTTACAATGAGCCAGATATTGTGCTTAGTGCTTCACACAATTTTCTTTTTAATCCAGGCAATTCTAAGAGGCAGCTGCTATTGTTACCCCCATTTTATGATGGAGGACACTGAGGCTTAGAGAAGTTAAGTATAACATGCCCCAGATCACATGGATGGAAGGTGGTAGAACCAAGATTCCAACTCAAGTCTACTTTAGTGCAAAGTCCATGATCTTAATCACAGTGTTACAGTGCCTCCTCCACCTACTCCCACGGCTTAGCCTAGTCCCTGGACTGTAACAGGCACTCAGTAATATTTATTGAATGGATAGAGTAATGTAGGATTATGTGAAGGTGAGCAAATTCCTGACCACCTCACTGATTTTTAGACATGTATGCATGACCTTACACTGTTTTAGAATCTAATACATGGGTGATTAAAAGACCCCAACTCAATTCTTAATAGTGGCACATTATTTTTGCATAGTATCACTCCCCAAGATAGGGTGACATCATATTACTATTATCACCATTTTTCAAGCATCAAAACATGCTTTATATAGAACATACATTTAGATCCAAGAACTTCTTCCAATCTAATTAGTGTGATCTACATCTTTCTTTTGCATCTCTTTTGCATGGTGAATCATCTCTGAATCTAATCTTCCTTTTCATCTATAATTGCTGAGACATTTACATTATGCATTTTATGGACTCTCAGAGTTAGAAAGCCTTTAGAGATATATCTCTGATTATTTCATTTTACAAATAAAAAAGAAAGGAAGCTTGAGATGTGAGATCATGATTTGAAAATAACTTTTTCTGAGCACTTGTTATGTGCTCACCTCTGGGCCAAGTGATTTTCACATAGCTTCATTCAACTTCATTGGTGGATGTTATTGCCAATTCCATTTTGCAGAGCAGAGAACTAAGGCTTGGTGATTTGCTCATATGATTAATAAATAGGAGAGTCAGGATATGAACCCAGGTCACCCAGCTCCAAGCTTGGGCTTCCAGCCACCACCCTGCATGATGTGTGTCAGTCATTCAGCCTGTCAGAGGCCAAGTGGAGGCAAGAACTCAAGTCTGTGGCATTCCACAGCAGGCTTCACTAGACCACTTTGTTTTCATTAATATTTTTAAGCCCAGTGACTCTGCTGAAACCATTTTGACCGCTTGAGACAACGATTTGCAAACTCTGCTCTCTTCAGTGTTACTCCTGATTCTACTGCTTCTCTCAAAGATTGTTTTCAGTGGCTCCCGAAGTGTGGCACAGAGGCACATGTGCTCTCCAGACTCGGGCTGAGGAGGAAAAGAATTCAGTTTTCTCAGTGAGCCATCCCTGGAGTAAGAAGCAGTACTTACATAGATAATGGAGAGAACGCCGTTATAGTTTTTGGTTGAAACGTTGAGGATGATCTTTAGCTGCGAGACCAACACTTGGAAGGCAGCAGCTGTCGTGAATCCGCCAACCAGAGGATCTGCCAAGTACCTCACTATGAATCCAGCCTGCAAGGCTCCAAATGCCAACTAGAAGAAGGAGAAGGACGGGAAAATCAAATGTTTGCCTGGGAGAAGCACCAACTCTCCTGAACTATTAACAAATTTAACTTAACACCAATTAAAACTCTGGTAGCCTGCCAATGACACAAAAATACTTGGAGGAAAGAAATCTGAATTTCTTAATGTCTTCTCTCTCCCCTCCACCACTCTAAAATTCAAAAACCAGGCATAATATGAACCTTGAAGTATTTCTAGATACATAATAAGAAAAGCAAAAACCATGTAGCTTATTTCTGTGACTTGCAGGTCCCACAGCTCCGCTCACCGGAACACTTTTCTCTCCTCTGTGAGCTCTGTGCACTTCCCTTCCCTCATCCTCATTTGAATCACACCAGTTCTTCTGCTTTTTTTTTTTTTTTTTTGTCTCTGATATGGAGACTAAGCGAGCCTTAATAAGTAGGGTCTTGCTGACGAGTTTAGCATCTGACCTAAATGGATGTAATTTGGAAAATACTTTGGGGTGTCCAGTAAACTGCTTTGTTTCGCTTTTCAATGAATCTTTAAGTCCATATGGTTTGCAGTTAGTTATTTCAAATAAAAATCATGCCAATCTGTATTTTACCTAAAATCCCATTACCTGTATGATTCCAACCAAAAAAGTGAGGGTGCTCGCAATCAATACTCTTGCTGCATCTCTGGCAGTGAAGTCGATCATGGTAGCATTTAATGCAGTTCCATTACTGCTGGATATGAGAAAGTGTTCATCAGGGGCCAGGCTCAGAACAACAGATCCCACCATTAAACTGACCACTGGGAAAGGTCCTGGGGAAAAAAGACTTCATCAATTGATAATTATTAATAGCAAATGTTTAGGCTCAACATGTCTACATAGGCTTAGAAAGAAATGTGAAATAATTAGCCACGATTGGGAAAACACTGTTTGTTCATGAAAGAAGCTAAAAAGCAGGTATTTCAAGGGATTCTTGACCCAGAAGTGAGGGAGAGAGACATGTAGGTAGGTCATTATAATGAGGCATTCAGGATGCTTTGTAAGTACACAGGAAGGGTGTCTAGCCTGCGTTTGTGTGGATGGGATGCGGTGGGGGGCAGGCAGTGGTGGGTAGTTGCTAGGAAAGGTTTCCTGGTGGAGGAGGCAGGAGGTGGCATACCGGTTGCGTTCTTACTTGTTTTGTCTTATTCCATATAAGCTCATTTCCTAGAGAATTCAATGTCTTGATCTCCATAAGAGCTAAGTATCTTGATCAATAAATATCACATGGTCTAAATTAAGGGAAAGAAACAGCAAAGGGAGTGTTGAATTTCTCTTTTTCTCTTTCCAAAACAAAGGATTTTTTTCATATCAAATGCCACTCTATAAGAATCTATGTTTTCTAGCCACTACCCTATTCACTACTTATATTTATCTCCATGAAAATGATGATCCTATCCTTTGACCATAAAAGGCTTTGACAGTTTGGAGGACTCAGGACCAAAATCCAGTGACCTGGACTGTCTAAATGTGCAGACTATCAAAGAGGAAAATCAGCTTCTATGTTCCTCACCTTGTCAAACAAGTGATGCTAATTGATTCTCCAGGTGAGGGAGTTCTTTCAGTCAAGAACCTTTTCCTGATCTATTTTCACAGACAAGGCAATATGCCACATACTAGAAGAAATACAACTAAGGAAAGGATACAAGTGGACGATATAGTAAATGGTTATCTTTCTTTGAAGAGAATTGTCCAGGTAGACTGTCTAGCCAGCAAATGGAAGTAGGCGCAAAATTATCTCATGCATCAATGTCAAAGTCACGAAATAGGATTAGACATTCATTTACTAGACCATCCCAGCAAAAGAGAATTTAAATTTCAGGAACAACAGGAAATAAACCTATTTTGAGCCATACCAAGATGGAACACCAAGCTTAGTTTCTAAATTGTTTGGCATGATTTTGCCAGTGTTTCAATATTAGTCACTTAAGATAAGTATACTTTTTATGGAAATAATGAATATGTACTTGATGAACATAATTTAGTAAATGCTAAATTAATCTAGGAAAACAGCAGGTTTAAAGACCTATTTAAGATTTTTTTTCCCCTCTTTTCTTGCAGAAGAGAAGACTTTCTAGATATGGAGTCAAATGTATTACATTTTTTAAAAAGCAAAGCATGTTAGAATTTGAAGGTAGACTACAATTTTAACAATCTTCCCATTTTCTCCTCTTCATAAAAAGAAAGTTAAGTATAAGGCTAGCTAAAGGCATAATATTTCTTCTTGAAAGCTAAGAAGAACTACTGCATCACTGAATAGGAAAAGCAAAGCCCTGAAGTCCTATTTCCCTGGAAAACAATAACAAAGGCACATAACAAATACACAAAACACAGCCAAAACACATTGAACGTGAATAAATACAATTGGCAGTATATACTTATAATTACCAACTGAGATGTGTCTTGATGTTCCAAAGATAAAGTATGTCATAATAGGGAAAAAAGCAGAGTAGAGACCATATCCAACAGGAACCGCAGCTAGCAGAGCATACGCCATACCTGGAAGTACATCAGAATGATTAAATTCACAAATGAACTTATGGTATATTTCTACTGTACAAAGAAAGGCTTTTTCATAGATATCCCCAATTTGCCACTTGTCCAGAGGGGTCTCTTTAATCTGCATACAAACTGTGGCTGTGCTAGGATGCAGAACACGATCCAAATCAGCTGGGATAAAGCTTGCTTGACCTGCATCTCCTGTCAAATGGATCGACTCAACTTTCAGTAATTAAATCACCCACTGATCTGATGAAGGGAAAAAAGAAGCCAAGTCAGTTGTTGATAAAAAAACTTTATCGGTTCAGTCCAAAGGCTCCATGCAGGTTTGCACATGGATGGTTTCTTCTGAATTTCATGTCTCTGTGCTCTGAGGGACCCAGGCATTGCCACCTGCCCTTGGCCCTTGCTTGTGGAGGAACGTAAGTTTCATCCAAACAAAGTAAAAAACATGACAACTGTACATAGCAGCAGCAAGACAACTCCACTAGGCTCTCTGCTGGGGGATGGACTCCTTTTATCAGCTATCCCAGGAAGCTTCTAGGCCCATGCATGGCACCCTGTCAGGAGAAGTCTCACCTTTCTGGGAGCACAGGGGTTGGGAGATAATGATGATGCATTTTCTTCTTTGGTTAAATACTTCTTAGGGAGCTAGCACATCTTACTCTACATTACCTCCCCACATTTCACTCATCATAATGAGAGAAAAATCAAGCCCTTTGATCCTTGGGACATTTGTAAAATTACATTGTAAAAGTTAAAAAAAAAAAAAGGCAATGACCTAAATATCCTGGCTCACAGGTGCCCTAAATTATTTACTGAATGAATGTCACCAAACAGGGAAGTGGTTCACTAAATGATACTTGAATTAGAATATAGAAATACATTTACTAACATGGAAATCTATGAAGTACAATGAAAAAGTGAGGAAAACAGGATTAAAAATTGCGATAAGTATGCATGCTCCCACATTTGTGAAAGTAAACATGTGTCTTGCATGCCTTAAAAAAATCCAGATTTTCAATATAATACAAAGTAATTCCATATATGCTATAATTTAATAAACACCCATGTAGCCACTGTCCAGCAAGAATTACATTATTGCCTGTATGGTTGAAACTCCATGTACTCTCCTTCAATGACATCCTCTTTCCTCCCTCCCCTCCTCAGAAGGCAAACACTATCCCAAACTTAGTGCTTATCATCCTCAGACATTTCTTTATACTTTTCTGTAGATATGCATTTATGTATCTAGTAGGATATTTACTTGGATATTCATGGGTATCTAGGTGGTAGAGTCAAAGGAGACTTTTAGTTTGTAGACGAGGATATATTTTCTAGTTCATTCCAATGAGCATTCATTCTTCCATGATTGATTGTGTACCTACCATGTACCAGGTTCCATTCTAGGTTTTGGAAAATATGGTGGACAGAATAAAATCTCTGCCCTTGCAGAGTTTGCATTCTAGAGAAATCTGCATTACCGATGCTATTGTTTTAATATATAAATTACAAGAATCAGTTGTTCTAAGAACATGGCATAGAAAGATGACTCCACAGAAGGAAGACAAGAAAAGGAGGAAGAGAAAGAAAATAGCATAAGATTTCACTTATTTGTGAAATCTAAAACAAACAAAGAAACCAAAAAATAGACTTATAAAAACTGACAACAGACTGTTGGTTACCATGGGGTGGTGGTGAAGTAGGTGAATGGGATAAAGAGATACAAACTTCTAATTACAAAATAAATTAGTCATAAGAAATGGAAGTACAACATAGAGAGTAAAACCAATAATATTGTAATATCTTGGTATGGTACTTACACTTACCTGTGGCAAGCATCTACTAATGTATATAATTACTGAGTCACTATGCTGTATATCTGAAACCAATGTAATATTGTATGTCAACTATATTCCAATTAAAAGCAACAAAAAAGGAGGAGCAGGGAATGAAAACAATCTCATGTAGTTTTTTCATATCTTTCTCAAACTTCCACTTCCCTAACAGGGCTCTGCAGTTCCCTGGAAAATAGGAACTTTTCAATACTCAAAAAGTGTCCCACTTAGGGACAACTGCTACTCAAACATACTGTCATGATCCTTGTTATAAAGGAACTGGGCTCAACAATTCTGCAAGCATACAACTGGTAAAGAATCTAAGCCTTTCGTTTAAGCTAGGGAGTCTCTGGATTGGTACCCTTCATGTGTAGGATAGTGGCATATATTGATCGAGAGGGTGCTGGCAAACATTTGGAAGCATGTAGAAGACAAAAGTTGAAAGTGGAGAGCAAACTCCCCCTTAGCTAGGAATAAAGATGACACTAAAAAAGATGCATTGGTCATTTGCTGTCTGGGGGAGAATTTTTTTTTTTAAACAGAAGTCAAAAAGATTCCCTTATCCTTAGTAAAAACTGCCTTCTCTGTAATTTGAGCCTGACCTCTCTGATGAATCCTCATCCCCAGCCTTCAGCCGCCCAGCCAGTGGTTACGTCCCAGACCTTGTCATCACTAGAGACTGTCACCAACACATCTGAGATCTCAATCCGAGCCTTCCTCTCTCCAACAACAGCCTCCTAGCCTTTCAGATCACCTCCTCCTGAATCCTTACTGCGACATTTATCCTCATGAAGTTCCTGATCCATTAATTGGTCCGGTTTCTCCCTCGCCGTGGAGTGCCCCCTGTCACCATCTTCACTTGCCTCCTTGTCCATGGAATTCTGCAAATACTCCAAATTCCCTTGCATCACCCTCTTCCCCCTCTCTCAGGCAAAACCCCAATCTGGCAGAACCCAAACATCCACCTTTTCTACAACGAGCATTCGAGCCGCTAGATAAGTCGGACTAGAGACATCTGCACTGGGACAACAGTTTCATGCCAAATTCATGATCACATGCCCCACATGAACCCCAGGACCGCCTGGCCATCAGCTACATTTCCTCAGGAAATGTGCTTTTTCCGTACAGCTACTCAAACCCCCCCTACTTTCTTTCAACTGCCCACCCTTCTCACACAGACCCCTTCAGAGATGCATCTGAGACTTCATTCAAAATATAGGATCCACAAGAGTTGCCCCAATTTGCCTTCCACCAAAATTTCAAATCTCTCTGCACGTGGACCAATCTGTCTGGCCTTCTCCCTTTGACAACAGAGGAGATTTCCCTCCTTTAAGGAGCAACCGTTCCCCACGCGTCCTTAAGTCCATCCACACTTGCCCCTTCTCGCACTCTAAGTTGTTTCTCCTCTACCTCTGGGGCTGCAGGTCTTTCCGCTTGGTCATTCTCACCAGCTCCCAGATATGTCCTAGTATTTCCTGTTTTAAGGAAAAATAAATCCCCCCTCCCTTCCCTTCATCCCTCCTACTCCTCCAAGTACAGCCGGGTCTCTCCTCTACTTCACAGCACACCTTCTGAAGAACATTATCTGTGTCTCCCCATCACGCTCTCCCCTCAAGAGTATTCAACATCTCAGTCCCTCTATCTTTTTTTAAAAACACCTTCTCTTTTGTCTTCTGATTCCACATCCTCCAATTGTTTTTTTTCTCTAAGCCCCTGCACCTATCCTCCTGGCCTCCCCTCCCAGAGCACCCACCCAGTCTTCCTGACTCTAAGTCCCCCAGCCTCTCCTCCCATCTGCCCTTTCTCCCTGGGTAGGCTCAGGCATTCCCACTCTTTTAAATACCGCCTCTAGAGAGATGTTTTCCTGACTTTTAGGTCTAGCCCAGGCCTCTTGGGAGCCCTTTATCTGCCTGAGTCCATATTTGGCATCTCTGCTGAGAGGTCTCACATGCATCTCCATCTTAGCATGTCCCAAAGGAAACTCTTAATTTCCCATACCAAACCTGCTCCTCAGCCAGTTTTTGCCATTTTAATAAAGGACATAATCATCTCTCCAGTTGACCAAATCAATAATCTTGGAGCCATCCAAGATTTTCATCTATACCCTTAATACATCAAGCAGAAAGATAGTAGATGACAGTGAGTCTTGCTCTAAAGCATATTTCAGATCTGTGCAGTTCTCTCCATCTCTTACTTCACTGGTTCAAGCTGACACATCTGCCCTCAGGGCTGGAACAAGGGTGAGGAAAGTGAGGTGCACAGGGCACAGTATTATTCGAGGAGGCCCCTGGGAGTGAGTGCCTCACTTGCCTCACCCTAATCCCAGCCCTGCGTACCCTTATCTCATTCTGCTCACCCACCCTCCCCTCTCTGCACTCCACCCCCACCAGAATTCCTCCTCTTCTGCCTTCGAAGATACTGAACTCTTTTTGGCCTCAGGGCCTTTGCACCTTTGGTATACTTTCCTTTCTGTTCATTACATGAGGTCTCCTCCTCATCCTCTGGTGTCTGCTTAGATTTCTCTTCTTCAGTAAATTTCACCTTTCTTGACCATTCTATCTAAAATAAATACTCCCTACTCAAATTAATCCATATTATAGCATATTTATCTACCACAATGAATAGCACAATCTGTAACTATTTTTCTATTTATCTATTTCTTTAATTCCTCTGTCAACCACTTGAAATGAGCTCCATGAGGTCACTACCTGTGCCTGTCAATAAACCACTGAATTTCTGTGGCTTAACAGCTGGCATACAGAGCTGTCTAGAAATATTAAGAGAATGAATGATAATGAATGATGAATGAATGCATGAATGAACCAGGTTTACCTCCCTGAGACTCATCTTACAAAGATAATTTACAGAGAATATTTCTGGAACACATATTGCTCATGAAGTAGGAACTGCACTGTGTATAAATTAAGATCTTAGAATTAGACTCTCAGGTAAAACCTCAGCTCTACCACCTACCAGCTCCATGACCTTGGGTAAGGTTTAGTGATTTCTCACCTAGAAAAAAGGAGTTAATAATAGTGTCATGAGGATGAAATAAGATACCTGGCCAACACTCCCAGCATAGTGTCTGATAGTCAATAAACAAATCTAAAATTAAAATTAATTTTTATAAGCTACTTATCTCTGAAAACTTGGGACACACAGAGCTTGAAATACCCTTTTTCACATATGAAGATGATTCATTATCAGGAATGCAATTCAGTCCTCTTCACTAAGTGCTGATGGGACCAGCTAGTTTGTTTTGGTCTCTGTTCTAGGCACTAGCTAAACAAACATGAATTTGTCCCCTAGGAGTCACACACTTTGCTACATCACAGCTATTAGAGTCCACTGTGCACCCGGGCATTTGGCATTATTTAACTTATGAATTGCACAGTCCCATCTGACTCTCACATCCACCTCTGTGATTGAAAACATGGTTGATCAGGCTGAGATTCTGCACTGGGGCCACAGAACATCTTCCTCTGTGGGCAGCTACCTGGCCAGATCTGAGTAATTTTGAGAGCTCTACAGGCAAATTTTGGCTCATGATATTGCTCAACAATTATTACTAACTTCTGAAATAGTCCATTTTCAAGCTATCTTTCTACATATATTCCTGCCCCACCCTGCTTCCCATAACTTGGCAAACTCAGACTTAACCTTCAGGGAAATTAGCTCTGACAACTCGCCCTCCAGGAAGCCATTCCCAACCCGCTAAGGCTGGGTTGAATGCCCCTGTGTGCACTCCCTTCCCAGGCAATGTTACCCCTGCCTCAGCCCTTACACTGAATTGTTAATTTCCCTCCCACTGGGCTAGGAGCTCCTTGAAAGCAGGTAGTGCATCTTATTTATGTCAGCATACCCAGTACCTGACACATACTAGATACTCCATAAAATTACAATAAATAAATGAATCTCTGTTTTCAAGCTCCAGGGGCTTTGTAGAGTTGGGAGGGTGGCAGAAGCAAGATGGTTGGGGCAACAGACAGAGGAGATTACCCATACTGCCATTTACAAACTATGCAACATTTCTAGGTGCTGTTTGAAATATGGAATAAAGCCAGTTAAGAAAAAATTAATGAGCACCTTTGTTGGGACATTTTACCAAAGATTAAAATAAGTAGATGGATAAAAAGGTGGGAGAGGGGAACAGAAAAAACACTAATATGTAGTCCAGGTCAAAATATTCCCATCCTTTTCCCTTAAAAGCCACTTTCAAAATGCAGGTCCAGACTCATGAATGAGATGTAAAATAATTTAACTGGCTGTAATCCTCCTTTTTAAAAATATAAACAGTCTAGAATAGGACAGAATAGAAAACAGCAGAGTGCATCCCTTGTCATGGGGGAAATACTATTTCACAAAACCCAAGCTAGGTGTGTACAAAACATGATGTAACAAATAGTTCTTTTTGTGAGTTGTGGACAACAAAAGTTGGAAAGCACCCTGCTTAGGTGCTAGGACTCCAGTTGGAGCCATACAGCTATAGAAGCAGCAGGGGTTCCCAGGAAGAGCCCTCTGAGGAAGGATTAAAGAGGCCAATCTCTCCAGTAAGGGGTTCCAGGGGAAGGTGAAGGTCTTGAAGGGTGAGCAAGCATTTGGCATAGACCCAGGGGAGCCAGGGGGCCGTTGTGAACCACTGCTGGAGACTGTGACTGTCAATCACTTGGGAGCCCACCCACCACCATCTTACCTTGCAGCGTACCCACCAGCCCGGTACTAACTCCCGAAATGATGTCACTAAGCAGCCACTCCTTGACTCGGTATTTGGGGAGCCAGTCAAAGATGGGCAGGAGAGTCTTCAGCACACCAAAGACTTTCTTTCTTGAACAACTGTCAAAAGGCAAGAAAAGGGGTTTTCTGTTCCAATCTGCCACAACCGACAGTAAATCACCAAGTTTTGAACTGAAGGCTGCTGATGCTTGCAATCATTTAGAGACAGAATGAGAATTTCATGGAAATACTAACACTGATGTGCTTACAACACTTTTGCTATGAACTCTATCTAGCCTTTTAAATGCACTGTATTAGAAAACACAGGATTAAGTGTTCCCTCCCCTCTCCCACCTTTTTAATCCTCTGAGAAAATATCCCTACACAAGGACCCATTTTCTGGTCCAGCCACAGATTGATCAATGTGGAGTCTCTAAATGGAGATTAATTTTCAAACTTCTAACCCAGGCGCCTTCTTCTACTTCTTCACTTTTTCTTTAAAGAAAAATAAACACATTCTGTATATTTTGGCAATATAAGCTTGGAGTCACTTTGTACAAATATTATTTGACTCGAGTCAAAATTTCTAAATTACATTTATGAGACAACTGGAAATTTTAACATTGACTCAATGTTTGATATTAAGGAATTATAATTTTTTTAAGTGTGAGTTTTGGCTACATTTTTAAAAAGAGCCCCTAGAGATATATACTGAGCTATATTCTGACAAAAAGAAACATTATATAGGATTTACTTCAAGAAAACAGTGGTGGGCGGGGACAAGTGGGTGGTGTGAAATGGAAGATCAACTTTGAGTTGATCATGTTGAAGCTAGATGATGGTAACAACAGGGAGAGGGAGTTCATTTATACCTTTACCATGTCTACTTCTGTACATATTTGAAATGTTCTATGACAAAAGGTGTTTTAAAAGAAAGAAAACCTGGCAGCAGCTGGCGGTTCTCCAGTTCCTTTTGTTGTGATGTCTAATTACAGGCTCCAGTTCGGGTTTGGAGACAGAGGAGGTCTCTACCTGCGCGGCCTGTGAAGACCTCGGAGCCCTGCGCTCTCCCCTATTCTGGCTTCCATTCTGTGTGGCTGCGTGGCATCCTGCCTGGACCGGCTCGGGCATTCAGCAACCCCGGGTCAGGTGATGGACCCATCATCTCCTTTCAATCGAGCCCCTTCCTTCCCCACTTTCCTCACTTGACCTGCACAAAAAGGCCGTAGGAACCCACAGTCCCCCACGGCGCGCTCCAGGTGTCCCCAAGAGGGGCAGAAGAGAGACGGGGCTCCCGGAGCACGCTCTCCCCGGGTTGCGCTTCGAACTAGCGTCAGTTCAGGCCCAGACGACCGGGCCACCCTCTGCCCGGGCGGGACAGCGCTGAGGACAGAGAGCCAGGGCGCCTCATTTGAGAAGAGCCGCGGCAACCCGCGCGGCAAAGCAGCGCGGCTTTCTCGGCTTGGCCTCGGGGCGCCCGCCCGCCCGGTTCCCCGCGTCCGGCCCGCCTGCCACGCAGCTACCTGCAGCCCCCGGCCAGGCTCTCCCGCAGCGTCTTGCGCTCTTGCAGGCAACGCTCATACCGCTGCTGGAAGGCCAGCTCACTGTACACCGGCCGCGACACCACGTAGCTGCAGCTGTACTCGGGGAGCGGCGGCGGCTCCAACCTGCTGCCCGGCGCTGCCATGACCTGCGAGGCGGAGGACGACCAGGAGGGAGGCTATGCAGCGAGGGGGACAGGGAGATGAAGACGAAGCCACAGGAGGAGGCGACCGTCCGGGAGGAGCCTCGCGGCACCACCTGTTGCCGCAGATCCCGCAGAGGCTGCTGTCCGCGGCGCGCACCGCCAGCTTGCAGAGGGGCAGCTGAGGACGGGCGGTCCGGGCGCCTGCACCTACTGCCCGGCGCTCGGGACCTGAAGGGAGGAAGCCCCAGTTGGGGGCTTCCGGAGCTCCACCCAGTGCCTCCGGCTTGCAGCCAGGGCGCGGACAGCCCAAACCCGGGCGTGGGACCCTCAGGCCACGCTCCGCCGGCGCCCAGGCTGCGTGCACTGCAGGCACATTCCAGCAGCCTGTCGCAGCCCTCCTGGGGCCAGAAGTTTAAGCAAGTGGAGCAGATCTTGTGCCTGGGCCTGTTTACCTAAATTTCCTTCTCGCTCTCAGATTCTCAGAAAGAAGGCTGCACTGCCCCCTGCCCGCCCGCTCCACGCCCCACACTGGTCCCATCCCCAGCCAGCGAGGCCGCCCCGGGGGGTAAGGCGCACCAGGTGCGTACGCGGCCTCCTCCGCGGCCATCTCACCTGTCTCCGCTCAAGCCCCTCCTGGAAAGCCCTCGGGACAGCAGTTCCGCGGCCTTTATAACGCTCGCAGAAGGCTGTGAGACGTTTTATTTATAGAGCAACAGAGACACCTTAGTAGACGAGAAGGAAACACTGGCAGCGGTTTTTCCCCACCTATCCTGCCGGGAAAGAATCCCTCCCGCATCGTTCCCTTTCCCTAACCGGGAAGGACTAGAATCTTACCGGTTGTCACGCAGGGGCCACCCAGCCCAATTACTAACTAGGGCTGCGAGTTCAGGGGCGGGACAAGGACCCTGGGGAACTTGATACAGGAGAGCAGTCAGGCTGGAGGAAGAGGTCAGCGGATTGCCGGGAGAGCTGACCTTGACTCCCAAACTGTGTGTATCTGGAAGCTCCACAGTCTGGCATACAACTCTCAAGCTAGGTGCGGAGGGGGAAAGGAGCAGTGGCCAGTTTTGTATTTAATAAGGCAATGGATTTCTAGAAAGTGTTAATTTAGAAGTAACTGAGTGGCATGATGGTTACAGAATTCATAATATATGCATGAATTTTAGATATGTATTCTCTGCACCCATCCCGTGTGTATGTGTGTGTGTGTACGTGTGTGTGTGTGTGTGTTATATTTCACAATCTAAATCAAGTGTCCAGGTGGTCTCCTTTCTTACCTGACTGACTCTGGGTCTTTCTATATCTCTTGCCATCCGCCCAGACAATCAAGGAGATCATAAACTGGACTAGACAAGAATCGTGATGAGAAGAGAGTGAGGGGAAGCCGGATCTCTCCTTCCTCATCAGGATTTTATCTTCTGCTGGGATGAATCTTGCTAAAACTGACTAATGCTGGTGAAGATAAGGGCAGGGAGAGTTTGGTAAATGGGAAGATTTTAGCCTAATCATCATTGTTCTGAGGTAAATTCAGAAGAATCTCCAAAATATGGACCTTCTTTCTGTACACCAGCCTCCAGTTGCCCACCCAGCTGGAAAATACAGACCATGACCATTCTGTAAGTCCTGGAAACAGAACTGCTCTCAGGAGTAAGTGTTTAAAAAAAAAAAGTGTAAACCCTAGTATAAATTTTCTGCGATTATATTCAACACAGTGTGAGCATGTGCATTTTTCTGAGGAATGAATGAGTCAACAGCTTTCAACAGAGCCTCAGAAACTTACTTGACCTGAATAAGGTTAAGAACCATTGAATAAGAAACTGAAAAAGGAAGAAAAAAAAATCAAGATCATGTACTTTAGAATTCTTATCTACCTGCAGAGGAGATTTTGTTTATATATGCCAGTGGTTCTTAACTAAGACTATTTTGCTTTCCAGGGGACATCTGACAATGTCTAGAGACATTTTTGGTTGTCACACCTTTTAGGGATGCTATTGAGACCTAGTAGCTAGAAGCCAGGGATGCTACAAACACCTACAATGGAGTGTACAGTCCCCTAAGGTTCTGTGTTTTTCACATGTACACTTATTAATAGATTGCTATGTGTACTAAACATATGCAGCTTTTGAATATATATATTGTGTATATCCCTTTTGTATAAGTGGCATATTTTGTTGGATGTGTAACTCACTACACTGAAACAGAGACAAGTATTTGTTTGAAAGCAGATTCTGAATGTACCCATTTGATATACCATCAAGCATGGCTTCAAGGTCCAGTTAAAACACTATCTGTTGCAGAAACATTCCTTGATGCTGTCAGTCCCTTTCTGGATTCTCTTGGCACCTTATCTGATCCTTTCTAAAGATGCTTCTCACTATCTACTCTAGTATCATAATTTTATTCACATACAGGTATTATCTCCCTCACTAAACAAAAACATCTCAAAGGCAAATGTTAAGCCTCCCTCCAACTGTAGTCCTCTTCTATGCTGCATTTTCTAAACAGATATATCTATAGCTCACATGTTTAGTTGCATGAAATATCTTTTTCCATCCCTTCACTTTTAGTCTATGTATGTCTTTGGGTTTGAAGTGAGTCTCTTGTAGGCAGCATATAGTTGGGTCTTTTTTTTATCCATTCAGTGACTCTATGTCTTTTGATTGTTGCATTCAGACCATTTACATTTAGGGTCATTATCGATAGGTATGTACTTATTGCCATGCAGTCTTTAGATTCATGGTTACCAAAGGTTCAAGGGTAACTTCTTTACTATCTAAGAGTCTAACTTAACTCACTTAGTATGCTATTACAAACACAATCTAAAGGTTCTCTTTTTTCTCCCTCCTTTTCTTCCTCCTCCATTTTTTATATATTAGGTATCATATTCTATACTGTTTGTCTATCCCTTTTTATTACCTCTGGTGACAGCTATTTAACCTTAGGCACACGTCCATCTATAGCAATCCCTCCAAAATACACTGTAAAGATGGCTTGTGGGAGCTAAATTTTCTCAGCTTTTGCTTATCTGGAAATTGTTTAATCCCTCCTTCAAATTTAAATTAAAATCTTGCCGGATAAAGTATTCTTGGTTTGAGGCCATTCTGTTTCATTGCATTAAGTATATCATGTCATTCTCTTCTGGCCTGTAAGGTTTCTGCTGAGAGGTCTGATGATAGCCTGATGGGTTTTCCTTTGTATGTGATCTTATTTCTCTCTCTGGCTGCTTTTAATACCCTGTCCTTACCCTTGATCTTTGCCATTTTAATTATTATATGTCTTGTTGTTGTCCTCCTTGGGTCCCTTGTGTTGGGAGATCTATGCAGCTCCCTGGCCTGAGAGACTATTTCCTTTCAGCAATTACTTCCTGAAAGACACTTTCTATCTCTTTTTCTCTCTCTTCTTGCGAATATTGTTCGGTTTAGATTGGTCACACAGTTCTCTCAATATTCTCTCTGTGCCTCAGCTTCTTTGTATTCCTCTTCCCTAATTTCTATTTCATTTATCATCTCTTCCACCATATCTAATCTGCTTTTAATACCCTCCATTGTGTTCTTCAATAATTGGATCTCCATCCTAAATTCATTCCTGAGTTCTTGAATGTTTTTCTGTACCTCCATGAGCTGTTAATGATTTTTATTTTGAAATCTCTTTCAGGAAGATTCATGAGGTCGATTTCATTTGAATCTTTCTCAGGTGTATTCATAATTTTGCTTTGAACCAGGTTCCTTTGACCTTTCACAACTTGTCTGTGGTGCTGTCTAGTGCCCAGAAGCTCTACTCTCCAGAGCTGCTCAGCCCCTGGAGCAATGTTGGGGTTGCAGGGGAGCAGTGTTGGTGCTTGGGGGGAGGAAAGAGCTGTTTTCTGCTTCCTGGCTGCTATGCCTGTCTCCACTGCCAGAACCAGTGGGCCAAACACACAGGTGTAAGCCTCTATGCTTTGTGTTTGTAGCTGCTGTAGACAGGGCTTCCCGCTGGCTGGCCTGATGCCAGGGCAGGGGTTGCCAGTTTGTGAGCCTGAGCCAGGTGCAGGCTAGCTGGGAGGAAGACACAGCAGGCTGCATATCATGGTGGGGCGCCTTGGAGCTGCATAGCCAGCCAGGGAGATGAAGCTCCTGAAGATCATTTAAGCTCCCAACCTGCTGGGTAGAGTACACCTGGACAATTTTGTCTACCTGTCCTTTCTCCTGAGCAGTAAGCTGTGCAATTCTCACCCCTTTAGCAGTCCTCTTGCTTTCAGGAAGTCTCTCAGACTGCCTGCCCAGATCAGCCAGACATGAATCCCTGTTCTCCACAAGCAGCTGGAATCTCTATCTCTCCATGTATTCCACCTGTCTTAACTTTCCAACACGAGAGCACCATGCAATGTAGGTTCGTGCTCCCAGAGCAGATCTCCAGGGCTAGGTGTTCAGCAGTCCCAGGCCTCCACTCCCTCCCCGCTCTGTTTCTCTTCCTCCCTTCAGTGAGCTGAGGTGGGAGAAGGGCTTGGGCCCCGCTGGGTCACAGCTTTGGTACGTTACCCTGTTCCATGAGGTCTGCTCTTTTCTCCAGGTGTATGCAGTCTTGTGCAGCCTTCTTTCCTGTTGCTCTTTCAGGATTAGTTGTATTAATTATATTTTCGTATTATATGTGGTTTTAGGAGGAGGTCTCTGTCTCACCTCTCATGCCGCCGTCTTTAATCCAATCTGTCCCTAGCCCACATTTTTAAAGACAACTAAAAATTAGGTTATATATTGGTCTACAACATTTTAAAAAAATTATGGCTATATCATGGGTATCTTTCAGATGAATACATATGGATTTTGTCAATGGCTGCCTAGCATTCTGTAGCACCATACACTCATACACTTAACTCTGCAATAACTAACATAGATGACTGACAATTCTTTATCAAGTTAATTTGGAGGTAGTCTGTACAAATACACATAATCCCACATTCTATTCTGATAGGGATTTCTGCTCCCTGTTACTTCCTATTTTAAATACTTTTAGTCTGTCTGGTTCCATAAGCTCTGTGGAATGCTTTGTATCAGAAGTTGGCTCTGTTTGGTGGTGGGGTAGTGATTCAACAGAACAAGGATTTAGGGTAGAGGTGTTTGGAAGAACAGAGGAGAAAACAGACTATCAAGTAACACCTGGGGGCAAAGGTATAACTTCCCTTGAGGAATAGACAGAATTCTTTGAACTGCATTTCTTTCTATATAAGAATTTAGTTTAATAATCATCACAAAATAATAAGCCCCACATTTACCTAGATGAAGAAATTGCTTTCTTCTGTTAAATGCCTTTTCTACAGAAGAAATAAATGGTGCATGGACAGAATGGCATCTCCTTTGCAGATTTCTGCAAAGGAGTATACAGCTGCTTTTCTTATAGGTCTGAATTTGGCTGTCTTTTAAAAATAGAGAAGAGTAGGATGTGATAACAGCTTGCTCTCTTCACCCAATTTACTTGTTATTTTAAACACTTCACATTACTCACTTAGGTTTTACAAATCAGGCTCCACCTGTTTCACATAAAGGTGAGTGGTTCTTATTCATCAGATTTAATCATTTCCAGGACTTCTTTCTAAAGAGATAGCTGTGTCACTCCAAAATAAATATCAGACAATATTATTGTTACCTTCCAGCACTTACATAGCAGTTAATGTTGACGTAAAATGCATTTTCCTATTTATCATTTAGGTATTAGAAGTGCAAGGCCAACTCCACTGTTACATCTACACACTTCATTCATTCAATCAAGTATTTCTTAAAAAGGTA